CAAAAATTGTTTATTTCTATTCGGAAAGGGAAACGAAACAAAGACCGGTTCTTGTTTTTCTCAGTCAAATAGGAATTGAGAATAATCAATTTTCGATCGAGTCAACGTCAGTTTAATATAAATGTACGAACAAGGATATAATGTTTAACGGGTAAATCGTACGTGAATTTCTCGAGCGATCAGTTGCATTAGGTTATTATTCGAAGAAATTCCATCAGACGTTGTACGTCGCGTGTGATTTATGGGTGACGGCGTACCGATACATTTCATCCGGACAGTCGTTGAACGAACGATTTTCTAACAGATGATTAGGTCATGCGGGATATATTGCCCGATCTCCTCGTTATCCGATATTCAAATCCGCTGAATTTATTTTCTCGACCGCACAAAACCATTTGTTTTTTAGTTGATCGTTCAGGAATTGGATCTTTCATCCTCCGAGAACTCTGCGTACAGCGAAATTAAATATCGTATCTCGCGCGCAGAGTAATGCCGAAATACTATGGAAGCTGTTTACGGGTTTGAATTTGATGAAAATTACCGCGAGACTCGCGCGGGTCTCGATTCGCGGACGCGTTGCAACACTTTGGCACCAGCTTTTCTCCATTATCGAGCATTAATCTAAATGGTGTATGGTTGGCCTGTTTGTGCTTGGTAAAATGTACACATACAGGTCGAGTCGTACGAAAGTTCTGGGTCGTTTCTACGCGGCGCGCATTAATCATAATACGTCGCTTATTAAACGAGCCGTCCCGTTGGTCGCGGCAACGAGGTCAACCCCGACACACGACGAAACGCAACAACCCCCAACCGACCCTCGGTTAATTTCGAGGCAACTTGCGCGTCCGTGTGTGTGTGCATATTCCGAGTGCATTACGCGCCGCGCCACGCGTGCATGCCAGTTACAATAAAGCGGAGAGCTTGGAACGATGCGCGGCCGACGAAATGCTCCAGCTAATTTTTATACGCGACTCGGACCGAGAAACGCTTCAATTAATTCCCAGTGTCATGGCTAAAAGTTCTCGAAAAGCTTCAAGATTTGGAACTTTGACATTGGACCGTTCCGAGCGAACATCTTGAAACTTTTCAACAACTTAATTAGTCGTAACGAATTTCAATGGCTCGCAACTTTTAAAGAGTTTCGAAAGTCTTGAAAAGCCTGCAAGTCTCGAAAGATTTCAAAGCTTTCCAACGATTCAACGACCAGGAAAGCTTGACAAAATTTCGAAAAACTTGACAAGCTGCGAGAACGTCTTTACGGATAGGAAAATGCTCGAGGCGTTGAAAGGCTCCAGGCAGGCGTTGGGAAAGGTTGCAAGGTTTTGAAAGGCTTGAAAGAATCAAAGTGCTCGAAGGGCTCGAAAGGTTTAAGGGATTTAAAAGTTTCGTTAAACTTGAACATCTTTGATGTTCTTTCGAGTCTGGAAAGGTACAAAGGTTTCGAGTGCCGAAAGAATTTAAAAGAACCGAAGGGCACCAAATGGCAAGGTAGAAAAAAGTCGCGATCGTGCAGGAAACCCTTGGATCGAGAAACGGATCAAGCTGTGGAAATAAGGGACGGGTGAAGGTTAAGAACGCGACGACGAATTGCTAAAACAATTTTCGATAACGTTGCGAGTAAAGAAGAGTAGGAGAGTAAAATGTCGCTCGAAGCCGACATCGATCTAGCTTTCAAGGATACCGAATACTCGCCCGATCGGCGATTAATTCTGCCCGTCACAACCTGGATTTAGGGCTCGTAAAAATGTCGTTTGCGGAGAAAAACGATAGGAAAAAAACGAGTTTTCCAAAGCGCCAAGATAGTCCTGTATAGTAATTACGACAGCATTTCTGGAACCCGGTATCCCCACTGATTCATGTGGATCGATCCGTTTATCGCGATCTTTATTTAAACGTTTGGTAAATAAAACATTGGAATTACCGGAACTTGAAACGATCCGAGACGTATTGCGTGGCCAAAGTTTCACTTTATCGCAGGAGCGAATGTATTATTTCTGTTTTATGTACCATAGGGAGTTGAACCCCGTTGACCAAATAAATAAATAAATAACCTCCGTTATTATTTTCAATGCGTGCTCGAAAAGCTTTACGCTAGAAAAGGGACGAACAAAGAGTCAATTTTGGCCCTTTCATTTTCCGAATACAGTTTTTCCAAATACGTGCATTGTCTCTACCGTTTTATTGTTTACCTGCTGTGCCTCGACTCTGCATGTATCGAATCAGTTTTCCTTTCGGAATATGTTCGAAATTAAAAATTTCCTTTCAGGAAACATTTTTTGAACTGTTTGGTTGGTTGAACGGTCCGGTCCGGTCCGGTCCGGTCCGGTCCGCCTCCATACATAAATCACAGGCCAAGCACAACATCTAACGAAACTCCCAATAATTTCTGCAATTAATTACTCAAGAAAGTGACTTAATCTCCCATTAAGGAAAGCACACGCTTCTGTTGGCAAATTAATAATAACTGGCAAAGCCCCACACGATCAAATACGTAAACTACCACACCCACTTTCTATGCCCAACATCTTTTCCTTATCTGACTCGCCAGAGGAACAATTTCTCCTATGTATCTGAAGTCGCATTTCTCTTAATCAGTTTCGCACCCTAATACGGCCACACACACACACACACACACACACACACACACAGAGATAAGAGTATGTCGGCAACCGGTGTAATTACAAGATACCCAGTGGAACAACGGTTATCTGTCCCGCCAGACACTGCCAGTAGGTACTTATGTATACATATACGACGTCAAGGATCAATAAGCCGAGAAAAGTTTCGAAAGTGGACGTAAGAGAAACGTTATCAAGCTCGCAGCTTCTGTGCGCGCTAGAAGAAAGAAAAATGTCGAAGAATGATCGGGGCGAGAGTTCCTAGTCGCGTGCTCGCGAGTATGAGTCAGAACGGCGACCGATATCCTGGCGTCAGGTAGCTCCGGAGAGGTCGGACAGTGCTTAATCTGCACCGAGTAGGAAGCGAATCTCGCGTAATTAATTTTAAGCCACGACTGCAACGCCGCTGCACAACCGAGCCCGTCCCTTTCATTTCTGAGTCGATTACCATCCCAGCCGCGTACGATCTCAATTATCTCGAGTGTTTCCTGCCTGACGAATTTCCAGATAACATCGTATTCCTTTCCCGCGAACGCGTCTCAAGGGAATGGGAAATTAAAGACGAAACGAAGCTACTGGCTCGTAAAATTGACCATCGTTCGAAATCGTGCAACCACATGTCACGCGATCCACATTCTTTCCAAGTCTGATCTGTTTCATTGTTAGACGCAAAGTCATCCCTGTCTAGACCAAATGATACTATTTGTTGACGGGTAACGGTGACGTTTTCCGGAGAACATCGCTTTTCCCCTTCGAAAGATTACGTCGCCTATCGATCGCGTGAGATTTCCAAATCGGTGTCGAACTACATACGTATGTATGTTCAATTATTTCTCGCAGCAGTCTCTTTCTTGGCAGAATTCTCTCTGGGTCGACGATGCGATGCATAATTCAATTTATTCGCCTAATAATCACGGTCGGGATATCATTTTTCTCCTCCCCCTGCCTGCCACCTCTATCGAAATCCCATTTCTTTGATCCCGAGTGAAACAAGAGAAATCGAAACTACTGATCGTGGTCCGTTTGCAAAGCGTTCGAAAACTGCGATTAATTTACAGTAATATTCATCGATGAACTATAAACCGTTCTCGAATACTTAGCACCGAGCAATTTCAAATGGATGACTTCCGACAGCTAGTAGAACTCCGGTAGGATTGACTGACGTTTATAGGACAAAGCGAGGCAAGGATGCTAGGAATATGATTACAAGGAACTATCGAAGAAACCTTACAAGTTGAGCGAGTTGTTAACATTCGTCGAGCGTAGAATTATTCCAAAATAAATTCAACCAGGTAAAATACTTGATTACATTTCCCACGATTATGTCTACAGAGTTATCGCCTGTTATCGGACGATAATTACACGGTAATCGTACGATTTATCGATGTACAGCTCTGGTCTATCGCAGACAGTTCTACTGCAAAGAGTTTACGTTCGATGCTCTGCCTCGACGTAACGTTTGTCAGATTTATGGAAGTAATATTGTTCGATGAAAGAGAATTTCTCTTCCCCTTGGAAAAGGAATAAGTCGAGTCGAGGCTGGTGAATTGGGTTCCCCCGATGCTTTATAGACCGCCTTTGATGCAAGTTCGCGGTAGCTTTCAACTTTCCACCTTGCTTCAACGCGTTAATGTTCATCGACGATATTTTTTAGCGTCCTAAGGTGTCGTGCCGTTGTCGATTATTACCGTTGTTTGTGCTACCAGACGTTGAAATTACCGTGTTCAACACCTGTTACTCGATCTGGAAATGAAAAGTACCAGCGATAAACAAGCAAAGGACAACAGTGTCTCAAGAATGGTTAATCTCACGCGTCGAAAAACGAACCTGTAGAAATGTTCGTAGCGTAGCTAAAGGAGGCGGAGAGGGAGGCAGTTTTGGTCTATCTATCACGGCGAGCAGAAAGTTATTTCGTTTTCGTTGGACGCAACATTGGAGAGAAACGCTGCCTGCATACAAGCGTCTATAGATAACGATCGCGATTTCTCTCGCAGTTGTTAGTGTTGCTGGATATGGGAAAAGTTTTTCTACGCCAAAACGGATAAAGAATTACGTAAGATGTACAATAAACACCTTGCGATTGAAAAATAATTCGTTCTTCGCTTCGGAAGTAACACATGGTATCCCAATTTTCTTACTTTCTTTATACGTTGTTTCGTTTATCTCTTTTTCTTTAACAAACTTTTATACGTATTATGTTGTATTTCTTTTTTCGTAGAGGAGGAGAAAGAGGAGAAAGGCGGTCGTAAACTGAAAGATCGCCCCCGGGCGGCACAGACTCTCGCTACGCCACTGTGTGCGTGTGCAACGAGTAGATTGTAGGAAATGGATTTTTTGTTGTTGTACAGTGGTTGTTACCACGATGGTTGTTTTCTTTTGCAGGGCTTCTTCAGGAGGAGCATTCAGAAGCAGATAGAGTACAGGTGCCTGAGGGACGGCAAGTGTCTCGTCATCAGATTAAATCGGAACCGCTGTCAGTACTGCAGATTTAAGAAGTGCCTAGCTGTCGGCATGTCCAGGGATTGTAAGTAAAGATTTATTTTGTACCCGAGATCGCACAGTGCTGCACAAAGGACACGAATAATTTTTAACGTACGATTTTATAATAAAAGACAACCTCGACGCAACGGTTGCACTATCGGTTGTATTTATTTTTTCTATTTTTCTTCGTTCCCGACCAACTTCAACTCGTGCTATGGGAATAAATACATAGCTGCGTTGTCTTTTCCTTTACGGAATTTCCGTTCTCCGGAGTAACAACGGAGTTGGTTAAAGCAAACTGAAGCGAAGTTGCGCGCATAATTAAACGTCAAAGTTCCACGGTGCAATTCGCAGCAGTGTGTAATAGGAAGAACCCCCGGAGCTTCCCACTCGCATTGTCGGCGAAATCGTAATAAGCTTTCGAAACGTTGCGATCCGCCTCGAAATGAATGTACATATTAGATTACAGGTAATAAAGATGTCAGAAAGCTGCATTCGCTACCGTTCAATGCGATTATCTCGAACGCGATACGTGTTAATCTTTTTAACCGTGTAACTGTTTTAGAGGGAGCTCTTTTCGAAACAATGTCGAGAAAATAAAAACTCTGTAATAGAAAATAGTATTCACGTTTCGTTCGGGCATTTGTTGATCAATTCGTCGGTAAAGCTGACACAACAAACCATGCCGTAAACAAGACCAAGCAGAGTACTTCAATCAATCCTTTAGCAGCGAGCTAATCATTCAATCAAAGATCATCTGGTGACGAATATATCTAATAGAATGGCCTCAAGTCGCTGCTAAATGTTTGATTGAAGTTAATCTACATATCTAGAGCCCGAGTTGGTCAAATCTTAATTCTAGGGTAAAGATTGCTGGGTCAGCGTTATTAACGAGTCCTTGGTCCCCTATCTTCTTTACACTTAAATAGGATCCATATTTTTCACTAACGTTACCGTACAGTTTAATCATGGAACGCGTTTCTTGCAGCTGTAAGATACGGCAGGGTGCCAAAGCGTTCAAGGGAACGCGGCCCCGACGACGCAGTGCCGACTACAACAACAACGACGACAACGACCACCGGTGTGCAACAGCTCACGTCTCCCGGCTCTGGAAACAACAACAACAACAACAACAACAACAACAACAACAACAACAACAACAACAACAACAGCCAAAATAATAACAACAATAGCCAGGGTCAGAACACCATAGCCTGCGTGGCACCAGCTGCGGTTGTTGAAGCGGATCAGTCGGACGCGGACGTGAAACAATTGGCCGTGTACGACGTGATACTCCAAGTGTCTCAGGCGCATCATGCTCACTGTGGCTTCACCGAGGAATCAACGAGGGGCATAGTTCGGAAACCGATGATAATACCGGTGAGTTCGACGGCAATTTACAAACAAACTTTCCATGGTAAAATTTCATGCAGAATTCCTTGTCGAAAGTTGCGTAAACTTGGTCCCAAACTATCCGACCTTTCGGGGTTCGAAGAGTATGATTTCTCGTATTGTCTTCCGAGTCGTAATTAACAATAGAGTCGCATTAGTATCTCCTGCTGGAACCGGCAGCAACGGCTGTTTCTTTTGCAATCCCGTTGATCAGGCGAGTGCTTCTTCGCAGCCCGCCAGTCCCGAGGACCCAGAGGCGGCATCCTCCACGGCGGAAACAGTTGAGTCGCAGAGGATCTGGCTCTGGCAACAATTCGCCACCAGAGTAACACCGTCGGTGCAAAGGGTGGTGGAGTTTGCCAAAAGGGTGCCAGGATTTTGCGATCTCTCGCAAGACGATCAGTTGATACTGATTAAGGTCGGTTTCTTTGAGGTCTGGCTCAGCCATATCTCAAAGATGACCACTGACAGTTCGATGACTTTCGAGGATGGTACTTATATCACTAGGCAGCAAATGGAATTGATGTACGAGGTAAGAACGCATCTACTATCTTCGATAACCGTCGAAGCGTAAATCAGTTCGGAGAACAAGTATCGTCGACACTTTGTTAATTGATTTATCGTGAAACAAAACAGCTAGATTTCGTGTCCGCTTTGATGCAATTCACATCGGCACTAAACGGCCACCAACTGTCGGACACGGAATTGGGCCTGTTTTCCGGCGCTGTTCTGCTCGGCGAAAGGCCAGGCCTGAACGACGTAAAGGCGGTGCAGAGGCTTCAGGATCGTCTTCTGGAGGCGCTCAAGGTGCAAGCGTTGCGGAATCACACGGTCCCGAGCGAGACAACCTCGGCTGGTGGTTGTTCCAGCATCTCGAGCGTTTCCCAAAGGATACCAGAATTAAGGGCTCTGGGTGCCAGACACGCGAATCTTCTCGATTGGTTCAGGAGGAACTGGACCAAGCTCAAACTACCGCCCCTCTTTGCCGAGATATTCGACATTCCCAAGTGCGAGGAAGATCTTCAGTGAAGAGGTAAATGTTGTTGTATTCTTCGTATCGAATACACCTCGCTCAGTCCCAGTTCTTCTCAGGTTGTTGTTCTGTACTGTTCCGGAAACGCGTAAAGATAGGTATTCCAACGGTAACGTAAATTTCTTTTCCCACTTCCTATAACACGTTCCGCCATTGTAATTCAACGCGTGCCCCATACATCCACGTTTGCATTTTAATCACCGTCCCGTGAAATCCAGCTCAATTTTCAATTCGATACATCCATAAACCCGACGACAGCCGGTTCGATTTCTAATCGGCGGATCATTTTTAAAGAATGTTTCAGAGTACATCGAGTTTATTCGAGGAAAAGGAACGGCTCTGCCGTGGGAGAATCTTCTAATTGCCAGGCGCCTCATCGCACAAACGCGACTCGGACTTGGAGGACGATTTGTTTTCGGTGGCAACCGGTGGTGTAGATGGGGCTCGACACGCGTCGAAAGACGCGCGAAGATCGCCGCTGATCTATCGCCTCTGGGGCGGGATCGATCTCTTCTGCGGATCCTGTCGTACGCTGTTCGTTTCATTGACGCACGAACGGAAGATGGATCGTTTCGTGGCGAAGGGTACAGATTATCGATCGAAACGCTCTTGGCACGATAGAAAAGGGAGAAAATTTTATTCGATCAACGACGAGGGATGAACTGAATCACGCGATAAGTCCAAGCTTCTTCCGATTCGATGACTCTTACGAAATTCCTCGAGCTTCGAGAGAAGAAAAGAAATAGAAATTCTGTCTCTGTATAAAAAGAAAATATAACAACGGACGATTCTTCTGTCTAGCGGGGAGAAACGTAAACGCAAACGGAATTTAAATTGGACGAGGTTTGTACCGTTTGCTACGCAGCGTCTCTGCGCCTAGCGAAAGCATTTAAATACTCAATCGACGAGGAGGAGAATAAGTTTTTCGCGTGGTTGGTCTCGCGCATATCGTTGTTGCAATAATGCGGCGCAGTGATCGAACACGCGCCGCACCAAAATGGATAGCACAAAACCGCGATCAATTTACGGCACCGGGTTTTATTACGGTGATGTAAAAATTCTCGAACGTAACTCTTCTTCGAAACCGCGATAGAAAAGAGGAAAAGAAAAAAAGGAGCAAGCAATCGAAGGGAGAAAGAGAGAAGATCAGCCTTGGAAGGAATGGCGAGTAGTATTGGACGTTTTGGTCAGCCTTCGATATGCCTGCAACAGTTTTTAATCAACACAACACTGTCCGCGCGCGTTCCGCTTGTTCCACGACCGGATCTTTCCTTCCTCCTACAATAGAGCATAGATGGGCAAACTTCTGAGCAAACGTTCAACAACATTCTCTCTGATATTATAAAAGAATCACTGCTATTTTCAATTACAAAGTGTAATTATATTCAAAGTCGAACGAGTAAAAACTTTTTCCAATAACCGTTCCATGTTTTGTAAGGGCGATTTCGTTGAAGATTTTACCCATCTCTGCAACAGAACGAAGGGACGAACGTTTCGCGGGCAGAGCTTTATCGAAACAGTTTCGAATCTCTGGCGAACACGTTCGTGCCAGATCGCGAAGGGCTCGCGAAACTCGCAGGCATATCGAAAGTGTGGAGTGTATTATTTTCTTGTCCGTAGAACTACCGGAACGATCTTTCCATCCCTCACGTAGTAAAGCTGTAAATTCGACAGAGAACCGCGCGCGTGATCGCGTGATCGCGTGACAGCTGCAAACTCTTACTTATACATATTATACAGATCTATACAAATAAAAAAGAAGAAGAGTTTCACGCTACAAAGCTCAAGAAGAGGAAATCTTTATAGGACGTATCTCACTAGGATGCATCCGCTACGAATCTCAATCTATGCAATCTCTATTTTTATTACTTGACAAGTAGTATAGTGGATTTATCTTTATAGATATTGTTGCATCGCTTCAGGATCATCCGCGGAAAACGTCAAATTTACGTGTTCGAACGAACCTTGATGTTCTTTCGTTTAATCATCGGATCCACGAATAGCGGACCGATATTGATCGACGATTATCGGTGTAAAAAGAGGACAGAAATTCTACAATGTGCACAGTAATCCCTCGCTTAAAGACGAAAAATCAAGTCTGCCGCTTGAATAAAGGTAAACGGATATTGTGACGCGCGAGAGTGAAAAGATAAATCGAGTCGAACCGTTATGTATCGTATAATAAATATTTGTTCCGTTGAGCTGTGTTGCATTTATTGTTATTGATTCGATCGATCGACTATCATTGGCGAACAATCACGGACGAGAAAATGTTTCCCGCGTTATCGAAGGAATCCTGAAGCGAGCATGTTTGAAATCTTCGAACTCTTGAACACTAATAACACTCTCTGACAATGACTAGCATATAACGCGTATCGATATGTAATATATATATATATATACATACATACATATACATATACATTCATCGTGTGAGAAACGGGGAGGGAAGGGGGGGTGGGGTGGGGTGGGATGGGGTTGGGATGGGGTTGGGATGGGGAAATAAAAACTAAGTTTATCACTAGAGAAATTAATGTTTTATCTAGCGTCGTACTTAAATTAAAATAATGTAACGTCGGTACATTCGCTATCGCTGCAAGGGAAGAAAATTTGAAATAAAGACTATATTCGCGGTACTAGAAGGAAAAGAGAATTCCAACTCTAAGCGCTCACATCAAGTTGTGAATAAACATATCATACCTAATTAATATATTGAACAAAGAAGGGATATCATCGTTTAATATAATATAAATATGAATCTATATATATATTACAAAAAAAAAAAAATATATATATATATAAAGATTATAAATCTATATGCAAGAAGAATAGTTATTAAACGTATTATGTCGACGGTGCGTAGATCTAACCAATGGTAGGCCACCTCTCGAAAACCTACACGCGCCCGCGCGAGAATATAACAAAAATTCAGCGTCCTTTTTTCTCAATTTTCATTCCTATATTTAAAAGAAAGAGAAAGAAGAGAAGTAACTAAAAACCGAATGGTCCTCGACACTCGTACAATCTACCAAAACAGATCTGCGCCAAAAAGTGACGTAATAAAGAGAGAAAAAAAGGAGAAAGATGAGAATCACGCGCAGCGAATCGTCTCTAGCTGAATATCTTTAAATTATTACTATTCTCGTCCTGTTGGTCGCGAGACGTACAGGGAGGAAAATCTCAAATAAAATGTAAATCGAGTCACTTGGTATATGTATAATGTATGTATGAGAATTTTTATGCTCGTGTACATAAATTCTGTAATTCGAACGATCTAGTGGCTGTCCTAATAATCTTCGTTGACTAGAAGCGAAAAAAGAAAATAATATGAAGAATGAGAGTGTGAAAAGTCGCGACATTTTCCTCCTGTGATATTTGAATTGCGATTCGTTTTTCAAAATTTCTAGTCCCCACGACTTATTCGCCGAGCTATAGCAATCGCGTATTCTACGATATTCTCGTGAACGTTGAATGGAACACGTTTATTGAAACGGCCAAATACTTAATAACGATATTAATTGTAATATAATGATTACTCGATCACGCCGGTCGATCGCCTTTCGCGGCTTTCTCGCGTGTCTCGTAAGAAAGGAAAATGCTGTTCCTAAAATTTTTATGGAAATACATATGAAAATTCAAGGTCGTTCCAATGCGATTGCAAGTCAATGGAAAGTCAGTTTATTTGCAAACGAATCACTTTTATGTCCAAAGTGACCAGTGTATATAAAAATGTTCTCTGTGATAACACATACGAATAATAAAATTGACAAAACAGTGTTGCTAGAGCTCGTTTGTCTTTCAAACGAATGTTTGCTTTCTGACCCGTACTTTCGTAGAATAAACAGGAAAGCGATCGATCGACCGGCGTAATGAAAACAAAGCTATAAGAATGATAATTGAGGTAGTATCCTTTAAACTGAAGCGTAACGCGTCCCTCTTCTTCTTTCCCTCCTCTCGTGTTCCGACCGAAGCGCAACATCGCCCTTCTCCCAATCATGCTTTCCTTCCCAGTGCCCAAAAAACAATCTTCTTTCCTTTTTCCCCGATACCATCCGCTCTTCGCCTCGTCTAATGTTATTTTTTAACCTTGAGATTTCGGTCATGGTGCTATAATACGTGTACATATACTGTGGGAATCGTTGCGTAATCAATGTACCATTATTATTAACATTATACGAGCTAATCGTATCCCGTATTATGATTACAATTATTATTATTTTATTATTTTGTTATCACACTGAATATGTATCGATTATTGTCGATCGGCGTTACGTTTAATTTTTCTGCGTCGAGCTTAATTCGTCTCGCGGTTTACGCGTTCAATTGGGAAACGCTAACAAAGAAAAAGAGGCGGTTCCTTAAACTTTTTTTTCCAGAGATAAATATATACATATATACGTGTGTATATAGTATATGTACACACACACACATATATATATATATATATATATATATATTCCGCCCGTAAGACAGGACTCTGCAATAATCACGATTTTGTTTGATATTGATTCTATGATTGTATATTTATACATAAGTTGTGCTCAAGCGTGCATCTCGTTGCGTACGCTCTATCGCATATACATATTATACGTACTCTTCTTTTTTATATAGACGAAATATCGACTGCATACTATACCTATACCGGATGTTTTATAAATCGCAAAGCAGCCAACAATGGTGAATTTCCCGGCCGGACGTGAAACGATTTCGTGAACAAGAAAACATTGTAGGAATCGAAATGTTGTGTATATCGATTCCGAATGCGAAACGACCAGCTGAATTTTTAACAGAATCGTAGTTCGAGAAGGTCGTTCTACGCCCGGCCTGGAATCTCCGCTTTTCTTCTGATCGATTACTAATTTTACGAAACAGCCTATGTAACACGATGTATCGAGATGATAAAAGATGACGATGACGATGGATGATGGATGCCGTGCCAAGCGAGGCGGGAATTGTTCTTAAAAAAAAAAAAAAAAAAATATGAAAGAAAACAAAAAATATAATATTACATATATGTATATGTATAAAATAATATAAACGACGATAATGATATTAAGGTAAATAAGTACGACAAAACGACTGCTCTATACTGCTAAAGTACAAATGTTTCATTTTAATTGTTTTATAAAAGAAAAAAAACGATATCGATTTGTTAGAGATTAGGTTTAATGCGTGCACGCTCGCTCGCGATGTACGTGTAATTATATTTATTTGTTAATCTCTCTATCAGCATAATAACGTGGCCCCTTCATATATCACGTGTCACAGACGCGTAATACGTAAAACGTGACACGTTCACGCTCGCTCACTTCGCCACACACGACACAACCATCACACACAACAACAACACGCATCTTTCCTGCCGTACTTATGTAAGCCGTGTAATATAGGGGATGAAGCGCATAACTTGCAAAAGCCTCGTTATTTAAATTTCGTTCGTCTCGGATAATTCATTCCGAAGGGACATTCCACTACACGTTTCTATTTTCAATTATACATATGTAAGTATGTATTTATTCTTTTCGACTACCTGTTAGCGATCGTTCAACAGGCTCGAGGAAATGTACATTTTTTCAGTCCGATGTAAAGATACGGCAGAAAATACTATTCAAGAGGAAAGCTATTTTGTACAAACTTTACTACATTGTTGTGCGATTAATATTAATCGTCTTTACCTTATCGCTGACAACTATTTTATATTCAAGTTTCGCGACATTTGTGAAACATTTTTCTGCTGTATATTAAAACGATATTCGCGTAAAAATTCGTATCGAAACGAAGCGAGTTGTCGATAGTCTCGCAATTACTATTACAAAAACTATTGGCCCTCTTTGAATAAAATTATCCGAGACAAAAGGAATTCATATTGAAACGTAATCAGAGTGAATAAGTAGTTGTGCGGTTCAGCCTGTATATTTCGTCTCACCGATACACACATACATACACGCGCGTACAGGTGTACAGAATGAAATTCGTCGTTTTCGTCGTTTTCGTCGTAACACGCACAGATTTCCAACAGTCTCCGATCACACTTTTTGATGGACAATCACCTCGATGGTGTCTGATGATCGATGCTGAACGGGGCACAGAACTTGTAAACGATGGCAGACGGAGATAAGGATTGATTTGTTTGTACAGCGTTTCCCAATTGTTTTTACTTTCGCTACTTTCATTGATTAGTACATATGTAGCGGTGCATGATTATTCTCCTGATCGTTTGCTCTCATCAACGAAGCTATTAACGATCGTTAATTCTCTAGAAACGATTTCGCTCTGTTTATATCGTGTAGATGCAAAGCGATTCAGCAACACTTTTAGGATACGTTTTCAAAGAGAATTTCTGTAAAATAAGAAAAATCTTAATATGGACCTGCGAACTGCCTTTCGACATAATATTAGCTATTTATCGAACGGCTGCTTGACTCTTTCTAAGCAGACACTGCTAAAGTAAGAAAACTTTTCTACGAAGGGAAATCCTTTTTTAAAATATTCTTGCAACTTATAGATTGGGAAACGTTGATTTATTCGATCGAGACACGACAATGATATACGCATGTATCGTTCAACCATGAAATAGTGAATTGTTAGAGAAATGTACAAAATTGTAATAACGTATGTATTTCGCTACCTTTGTTCCTAAAAGAAAGTACATATTCGATACGCTACCTTTGTCAATATACATATACATAACGTGTTTCGATTCACTTGTGCTCAATATGTTGAAAATGATCCGTCGATTTCAACGATTATTATATTTTAATTTAAAAAGTTTCTTAAACAGAGTCAAAGAGAGGAATGTAAAATATTTTTCTAATAAAAAATCGCACTACTTTTAATACGACCCACCAAGCATACTTGAGAACATCTAGAAGGTATCGTTAGAAACAATGTTGTTGAGCAAAGGTGAATTAAAGAACGATAATGGAACATTAATTGTATTGCTATTTCAATAAATGCGTTATTGTTGTCGTTGCTTGGTTCGACTACACATTCAGCGATGTATTTTCATTTCATTCATCAACATTTATTAAACATTATTTCCTCTTTTACATAATGTTATACTTGCGAACGTACTTAATCACGCATACACACACACACACACACACACACACACACACACACACACACCAGTATCGTTTCATCCGATTGCCAGAATTGGTTCGAGACATTTCATGACATATCCGACAAATCTGTCAGCGAATACGATCGATACTTGATCCTCTCGCGGTCCAATACATAAGTATGTATGTTCCCTCTATTTCCCGTCATACATCAATTCCAACGAAATGCTTCGCGTTAAATTAATGCACGTCTCTGAATATGCCAATAAATATCTGTTGCCGCGAACTATTTTTTATCGCGTATAAATAATTTTTAAGGAATATATACATATATCATGTTTTGGTTTACAAATAAACGTAAACATGGTAAAGTACGATATCAAAATGAACCGACGAGGGAACACTGTCAACTGTCGGATTCCAATTTCAGTCCAATATCTTTTAAAGTCGAAAATTAACAACAATGAAATTCCATACACATATGTACCTTGAATTGGATCAATGAAGATTGTTTGGCAGTTATCGGTGTCCCCTTATGAGCGTAGCACCGCGAAAAAATTTAAACATCATATCCGAACGTTTCACAATCGTAAACTATTCACCGGCAGGGAAATCAACGAGAATAAAGTTAACTGGAAAGAAAAAGAATTTAATCCGAATCGGATCGATCGCAACGATGATTCCCAAAATCATAATCCGGACTTTAATGCAACGGGAGATAGATAGGTTTCGTCATGTGTCGCGATTTAAATTGATACACGAGAAACGAAAAAAGAGCTAAATACATACATATATCTCTCTATTCATGCATATCGTCGCAATAACCGATCAATATTTTATATTTTCTCCTGTAAGGCAAAAGTTTGTCCTTGCTTTGGCTATTTGCGAACGCGCGCATCGATCCTCGATCGCTATTTTTCCAAGTCCGCTGTAAATCGATTTCTTGTAAGCTGTCCGATGGGAACGTTTCGCCGTAAAGTCGCACTAGAAAAGCAAAACGGTTCGCAGAAAGTTAAAACTACTTGGACAACGTTTGTCGACGATAGGACGCTTTTGACCATTTGAGTGCAGAGGAGGATCGCGATCCTCGATCGATACTCTAGCGAGAAACGCGAAAAGCGCGATTAGCAACGCTTCTCCTGTTTCTTCCTTTGTGGAACAGCTGTTGGAACGTAACCAACTGATTATCGCACGTCCAACAGTTGTCTTCTCGTTGAGAAAATCGTTCGTGATTCACTGTTATTTGATCAGTATCGGTTAATAAACTTTTTAAATAGTGTTAAAATATACAATCTGATTGCTTCTTCTTTTATTCAACCCCTCCTTCATTTTCCCCTAATCCTCAACACACTCATTGACGATGATGTGTTACACACTCCAATGAATAAATACCTTGTAAGTACGAATTTCTCTGCTCTTCTGCTTTTTATTTACATTTTCCTCTACCTTTCCCTTTAATTTCTTCATTTTCATAATCCCTTATAACTGCTTCAAGTGTTATTCGAATCTGATCCAAGTTCTTCAAACATTTCTCTATACATTTTTTCATATAATTAATAAGTTATAAATGATTACTGGAAGCGATAGTTACGTAAGTATGTACCTACATACATACATACATACATATTTCCCTCTCTAATATAATACGTATATTCTTTTATTTTGAGTCTTTGGGTACTGCCTGCGAATGTAGTAAAAAGGTGGATCGCAGTACACTACATAGTATACATACGTAGAAAGATGTAAACGCGTAATTTAATCGTCTTGAATTCCTCGCTCGAGACGGCGCAGCTGATACGAATGACGACACAGTTCCTTCTAGTAATGTGTCAAGCTGAGAGAATCCATAAAGATGGCTACTGATCGAGCGACGGACTGTCGTGTGATGTCACTTTTAAGCAACGTCTCGACGTTGTAACTCGAAAAAACTGTCAATAACCGTTGGCTATCGTCGATTCAAGCCACATTCCCGTTTAATAAATAAAATTAACGAAGAATGAGTTAATCTTGATTAAAGAAAATGAATTGTCACCAAATATTAAGTGGGGCCTGTAATGCGGGTGATCGATGTTACGCTGTCGGTTCCGTTGAAGGAATTTCTTTTACTGTAAGTGTTCCGTCTCGCTAAGGTACAGTCAATCTGATTTTTATCTTTTAAAACTTTTTCTCTTCGTACTTGTTTATTGGATTTCTATTGTGCTCGCGAATCGTTAAAAGCACCCTATGTTTTATATTCTTGGTATTCCGTTAAACGACAATCTATAAAAACAATTTTCGATACCTTCGATTTTATAGGATTAATTAGACGTTTCTTTATATCGTCGCTCTGGTATATCGCTATTCGCTTATCGCGTATTTCTACTTCTTATCAATTACTGATGTATCCATTCTTTTTCATTGTCTATGTACAAAATTAAATATTTTTATACTCCACACGTTGTTACGAAAATAAACCTTTTATGCTATTCTAATGTAAAGGATTAATTTTTTAGATCTTTTCTTAGTATATTATACTTGTAATGGTTGTGTATCCGATTCAGGCATACGCAGCCGGTTGCAACATAGTAATTCTTGCCAGTAATTTTGAACGAGTTCAAATAATCCCTGGAGCTGTACATAACTATATAAGGATAAGCTGTTTGGATTGTAGTACCGATACAGGGAAAATTGCAGCCGCGTATGAAAATCAAGTCTGTATTTTCGAGCCTACGCCATTGATCCATAACACTTGTTCCCACGTATGTTTCCTCCTTTTTGGTATATATATCTAACAAATAATTGTACGTGCTTTGCCATTTTGTGCAATAATTCTTTTAAACGATACATATAGCAATTGGAATACCGATGGGTTCAAACTGGAAGCCTACAAACAGAGTCCAATATCAGTTCGCTGTCATGGAATTTGGAAGGAACACGATTATTGACCGGCGGAGAACTCTTACAATTATGGCATCAAAATATAACGCCGTTTCAGGACGAACACGGTAAGCCTTTTCGTTACACCTATTCCCGATTAAATTTAACCGTAATTAGCATTACAATTAATTTTCTCTACATCGATCGATGCAATGTTATCCATGTCGTTGGTAGAAGTAATAAAATTGTGTACAGCGATCAAGGTGAATACGGTACGAACGCAAGAAGCTGTTGTACCCAAGCAAGAAGAAAATACTTCAAACATTCCTCAGGACTGTGAGTTTGCTTTGGATGTGCGCGTAAAGCTGTGAAAAGCATAGAGCGTATTTGAAAGTCTGTGCAAACTTGGAAAATAACTCGACCATTCCTCTCGAATTATTTTCAATTCTCGATGCTTGGCTCTAAAATAAATTACACAAGTTGGCATTTACTATTCTACACATCCTTAGTATTGCTGCTTGATAATACGATGCTTTGATGTTTGAATGCATTATTAAAACGGAAAAAGCTAGAAAGCTCTAGCTCTGGAAAGAAATCAGTTTTTTCATTAGAACAATATTATTAATGTTTGAAGTAAACAGAAAACTTTATTGCATACATGTATATGTTACCTAGCTGAATTTATTGACCCTTTGACTACAGTCGATTTTTACGCAAGCACAAGTTGTGCGTGAAAAAGTTTCTCACGCTTTGAGCAACGCATACGTTTAACGCTCATGAGCGTTTAGCGCACACAGTGAATTTATTAACCGAACGCCTGTAGGTGCTTTTAGTAGTCAAAGGATTAAAACTAAAGGAGATACGATTGAGGAGTAGCATAATTTTTTTACAGCCGGTACAGTTACCTTTTCGATCGGCGGCGAAGCAGAAAGTCCCGCCCCAGGAGATACGGCTACCGGAAATGAACCAGGAGCATGGAATTGCGTTTGGAAGTGTCGCACAGCCACGCCAGTGCATCTCATGAGTTTTAGCCCGGATGGTACATTATTCGCGACAACAGGATTCAATGATAGATTAGTCAAAATTTGGTTCGAGAATAAACAATGTACGATACTTTTGTGCCAACTAATAGAAATGTAATATTTTGAATGTTGCAATCGTTTGACGAAATGTTTTAAAAAATCCGTGTTTAAAATTCTTATCCAGTGTTTTCGACAAGAATGGATCACACGAATGTTACGCAATCTACAGCTAGCGACAGTTACAGTTTTGTTTATGTCGCTCATCCTCGTGCGGTAACACATCTATCTTGGCGCAAGACCAGCAAATACATGCCCAAGTATGTAATAGACGAAAGCAAATAATTGTTAAAAAGATTCATAGATAAATCAAGTATATCGTGAAACGAAATCGTCGACAGATTTTCGTGTATTTATCGTAATTTTGTTGTTCAGGGGTTCCGTTTCCAACATGTTGGTCACATCTTGCAGAGACAATATTTGCCGAGTATGGGCAGAAACGATACCGCCGGAGGTTGAAGGACTGGCTAATATGAGTCAGTTTGAAGGATCCGACAGGCATGGTCATCACGGGAAACATCGACATCATAGTATGCATAAACATCGATTCATGCAGCGACTCAAACACATGAAGTGCGTACAACATAATCGCATCTTTTGCTCTATTTTTCTATAATATATTTTTTCACGTGATTCACATAACTGGTATATATTTCCTATAGAACGTGTTTCCATATTCGTCGACACGCAAAACAACAACATCAAGCAGGACACAACACAGCTCCAACCTTACCAACTTTACCTTCAACGTATTCGGTACACGATTTTCATAATAATTACCAAGGTACGGGCCATTATCCGGGAATGCATTTTCATTTGGCAGCTAGTATAAATGCAGAAACTGGTACGATTATTATAAATATACATATAACTATTTGTTCTTTGATCGTTGTCGTACCGCGCAATATAAAATAACGCCTAGGATATTTCTTCCCACTGTTTCGTCTTTAATACCGTAGATATACCGCTAGTACCGAGTTTGATCACTGGAGATCCTGAAAGGGAACCAAATTTTATTTTACACTGGTTGAATAATAAAGAAATGCACTTTACGATGCAAGCTGAAAGCATTTTGCAAGAACTGACGCGTAAAGTGGTAGAGAAGGAAGAAGGATTGCATCAGCAAGAGATGGATCATGCGGAACACGATTCCGAGGAGGAAGGCCTGTCGAGTGAGTTTTGTCATTATCGCTTCGTTTAAGCAATATGTATGTTTAGTAACACCATCGGCGCTATCGGCACGATTTTACTATATGTATTTCGTACACAGAAAAGGGAGTACGATTGCAACCTGTACAAAAATCGGGAGGCACAATTCGATCGATGAGCCAAGAAGATCATAGCAGCGACGAGCATCATACAGCTCATACAGTTTCGTCGCACCATAGTTTACCGCACAGTGCGCATTCGCATCAAAGCCTTAGGTATGATATTCTCGAAGGAACGATAAAATGTCATTCCGAATATCCATAGCAAGAAAATGTTTATCCACGGTAGAAATATCTATGCTATGTATGTGTAACGAGTCGGTTTTCGATATTTATAATTGGCTGGTTCCAGTAATACTACATCTATAAATTCCATCGCGACGGATGTAACGTCTTCGATGAATCATGCTCCGGATTCCTTGGACACCAAGATCGAAACGTTATTGCGCGATTGGCATCATAATCCGGACCTACTCTTCTCCATTCATCCTATAGACGGAAGCTTTTTAATCTGGCACGTTGAATGGCTGGACGAATATCATCCAGGATCGTTCCGACAAGCACAGATTTCATTTTCAACTCGAATTCCGAACGCTTTTCCCCTTGGCGACGCTTCCACGATGAGTCACAGCGTATCGATGTATTCTCACAATACCGGCGGTCCGTTGTTAAATATTCGCGAAGTGGCAAAATCATCGACAAAATCGTCAAACGACGGTAAGAGCTTTATTTTGCGTATTAGGTATCTAGCGATGAATCGGGTTCGTCGTCGGTCCTTATTATTCTTCGGGTACTAAGAAAAACAAAGTGTTGTCGGTGTAGCTGCCGAAACTGCGACGCCGCTACCAAGCCTGATCGAACAAGACGAAGAACAGTCGACGTTAACGTCGAGAACGGGCCAGGAATTATTAAAAAATATTGAAAACTCTGGGAATCCGAATCAGAATGCCGCGGGAAAGGACAGGAATGGTCATTTGGATTGTGGGAAAACGAATCAAGAAGCGGTAAACGATTTACTGGCTCATCCCAGTCCAATCGTCTCTATGGTGTCGAAACATTCGAACGGAACGTTGAACTTGTGGCAACTGACGTTTGCCGACAGAACGAAATTTTCCCAGGTAAAAGGAAGGGAAGGTGTCGGCGAATCGGTTGTACGTTGATTAACATTTATCGTTTATATACTCTGACCAATTTGTTAATCGATAATAGGTGTTAAGTATCGGGCACGCGTCAAGAGCTTCGGGGCATCGATTTCGTGTAAACGATATCACTTGTCACCCAGTTCTACCTCTATTGGTGACGACATCGCATCACAATATATCGGAATGTTCCGGATCTCAGTGTCAGGAGACCGATTCGAATGAAAATTTAAATAGCAAATCAGGTTCCGGTAAAGCGTCGTCGAAAGATATCTCTTCAACCGTAAGTAATATACGTATACGTACATATGTTTGGTGGTAACGATCCGAAATAATTGCGGCAAGTTTAGTTTTCGTTCGCTCGAATAAATCATCACAACTTGGCAACTGGTTGAAATAATTGGGCTTAAACTGCGATTTTAGGGGTTTTGCAGTGAATTGATACTTTGGCGCGTAGACCCAGTCGGACCGTTATCAAAAAGCGGCGGAGTTTCCGAATTGGCACGTATCAATTCTCCCGAGATCTCAGCGTTCAGCAACGTAGCTTGGATTCCAACTCTATTGCCAAGTACTACCTTGGGTAATTTATCGAATTCACCGAGCGCGTGCTTCGTCGCCAGCGACGGCGAGTGTTTGAGAGTTTATCAAGCTGTTATCGATGCTAGAACGTTACTGGCAGAAGTATCGAGCAGCGAAAGACGAAGCAGAATGATGGTAAGTGTGTGTGTGTGTGTGTGTGTGTGTGTGTGTGTGTGTGTGTGTGTGTGTGTGTGTGTGTGTGTGTGTGTGTGTGTGTGTGTGTGTGCGTTGGATGAACGTAAACGAACCGTCAAGGTACGACATTGATGTGTGAATATATGAACAACAGGATTCAATGGCGAGTCTTTCGACGGATATGTCGTCGGACGATGGTATTAGGCATTCGATTCACGACAGGATACAGATAGTATCGCAACAATCGACGGCGAGACCAGGTTGTGTGATACAATTGGACGCGATCGCTGATGCCACGCATGTAAGTAGCTCGGAGAAAGAAAAAAAAGGAGTTGTCGAGACAAAGTATGTCGGGTTGTGTTAATGTATCGATAAACCGACGGTTTGGTCGGTATTGTGCTTGTTAATTAAGGACAAGTGATTTTTGTAAACGTAGGACTGGCAAAACACCCAATTTCTACACGTATTCCAAGAACAATTAATTACCGGAGATAGAAACGATGAGAAGCAAACTGGAGTGGATACGTCGGTGAACGATTTAGGTTTGATGGAGTCTACCTTGGACGCGATGGTTGATTTGCAGCAATCCGCGATATTCGAAGAACCATTCTACATAGTTGTTTTAGAGAGAACGCAACAGGGCACCACGGTACACATGTGGCGGTTGATTATAGCTTCTCAGCCTGAAACTACCGGTAGGGTACATCGATCAACAAATATTGCACAAATAATGACATACATAGACTATGTATCTGTTAATTGAGGTGTGTGTAAATTTTTCAGGATTGTCGGGATCGATGCTGTACGTTCCAGATTCTCATTTGGTACAAGACGAAGAGGAGGAAGGTGGTACACCTGGACGATATAATCATCCAGAGGGGGGTAGGAGATCTCGTAGAGCGAGTCAGACACGTCGCGATAGTCAAGGCGAGTTTGATACGTTTTTCCAAAGACGACCTCAAAGTAGCCACGTTCTTATCACTACCACGAAAGCCTGTACTCAGGAATTACCGTTACCGGACGGAGTCGAGGTTCGCATTATATTTACTCTATGTCTGTTTCTTCAAGCAAAGTTAAGAGAAATAAAGGAAGAAACGTGGTCATTTTTCGTGGCAATCACGGTCATAGGTGGTACACGCGGCACCAGCTGCTGGACATTTGAGCAGCTCTTCCATCTATCCTGCTTGTTTCGCACCGTACATTATAGTGACAGCGTGCAGCGACAGTACGATACGTTTCTGGAAATGCAAAGTAACGAAGGATCAACCGGACGATAAGCTTGGTTACGAATGGTGCGAATGGGAGATGATACGGAAAGATCAGGATTCTACGATCGACATTACAGGTACGCATCAGGATGTGTGCGTGTCGGTAGAAAGACGAAAAGAAAAGAAAAGAAAGGAATGGGAGTAGTAATTTGCAAGAATGAATTTTCAGGGCAACCGTTGAATATAAGCGCAGCGTACAGCGGACGCATCGCGTGCGCGTACAAGTATGGAAAATCATTCACGCGACCGACGAAAAACGATCCCGATTCCCGGTACGTGAACTTGTGCGTCGCTATATACGAATGCGAAAGCACCGGTGGGAGCGAATGGATATTAGAGGATACGATACATTTAAAGAACATACATTTGCCAAGAATCCCGGTGGATCAGCATTTAGATCTAAGCTACCTCTACGATAGTAGATTTTTGCAAAAGAAGCAGAGGCTGACTCAAGTGTTGCAAACACTGAGCCACGAAGACGTGAGATCACCAAGGAACGGAGAAAACGGGGAAAGCGGTAAATCGAACGCAGGTAAGTAGAGTCGGATCGTTGATACACGTTTACACGCAAGTACCTCGGTTACTATTGTTGTAGGAAAAACTATCGATATTTTACACATACATAGATAAATTGTCGATAAGAATTTGATGGTAGTTTGCCTGTTACGATTTCTAAAGGGTTGCTGGCTGTTCCGTCGTTCAGTACTCTTCAATCTCTGCGTAAATCGATCATAGAGAACGGCAATACATGCCCACTGACCCAAAAACATTTGGTTCAATTGGACTGGGTGTCGAAGGAGGATGGCTCGCATATTTTGACCGTTGCCGTTGGATCGAAGATCATGCTGTTCACGCCGGTCTGTTCGGATCTCGCGCAAGCGAATATGAAAGCGATGAAGGAATCGCAGAGTAACAATCGACCGATACTGCGTAAAGCATCGTCGTTGGCACAACCGCAATTCGTTGACGAAATTCGTTGGATGAAACTGCGAAAAATCGAACTGACTACGGCGGACGGTTTACCGCCTTTGCCCATGCAAATATCATGGGTGAGGGATGGTATTTTGGTGGTCGGGATGGATTCGGAGATGCACGTTTACTCGCAGTGGAAACCAAATCCGAAGAAAGATTGTTTCCACTCGAATTTGCAGCACCAAGAGTCGGACGAGTTTCAAGCGAGTCGAAATCTGCGGGACGAGGATCTGCGAACTTTGGCGCACGAAACGTCGCAAAGGCGGCTGGCGAACGTGTCTTCTATGCCCCACCTTTCTCGCGTGAGTAGCATCAATTTGACGATGCTCGACGCGAAAAAGAAACGAGGTATGCAAAATGAAAATTTGAATTTCGACTACATGCCGGACTACGGTCTGTTCGAGGCCTCGCGAATCGCCTGTCCCGTTCTGCCTCAATATCATCCGAAGCAACTGATGGAGTTGCTAAATTCGGGGAAAATCCGATGGGTGAAGGCCATACTGGCCCATCTGGTTCGGTGTATAGGAAGCTCTTGCTCGTTGAGGGCGGACGACGAGAGCCTGATGAAACAGCGGGGCGGTGGAGGCGGTGGATGGTCGCGTTCCAGGACAATGTCGGTGAGTTACGTAGGCGCAACGTCGCCGCTGGAACCGAGAGGTTCGACCACTCAGATACCAGAAGAGCTCACGTTGGATTACGCGGAGATAACCTCGATATCCCCGTTGCCGCTTTGGACGTTGTTGATCGCGGACAAGGAAACGAATCTGCCGCATCAGCACAAGACGGAGGACAAACAGGATTACAACGAACTGTTTGACAGTAATTTGGACGAAGGCGAGTCGTTGGACGACATGCTGGAGGAAGATTACGATTGCTCCCGGCAAAAGGACAGACGTTCGTCGGTGCCGGAACGCCAAGGAATATCTCATTTCGGCCCGAGGCAAGGAAGATTGCTCTCGCGATTGTTGACTCACACCCATTTGCCCGGTCTATCGAGCCTCGATCAAATGCATTTGCTCGCTCTGGCCGATACCGTGTCCACCTGCAACGTTGATTTTGCCGAACGATTCGCGATCGACGCCGCGAAAAACGCGATCGCGAAAGAAAACTTGACCGGCATCCCCGACGGTGAAACCGTATCGACAGATTCCTTGGACGATTGCGGGCTACGATTCTTATTGGCCATGAAACATTACAATTATTTGATTCGTTGCCTGCCGCTGGCACAGAGGGCACAATTCCAGAAACAAGGTATATCCTCGAACAATCTTGTCTGGGCATTTCATTCGGAATCCGAGGAAGAACTGCTCTGCTTGATACCCTCGTACGCGAAAGGTCAACCAAAATGGAGCGTGTTGAAAGAGCTAGGCGTAGGTTGGTGGATCCGGAGCAACACCGTATTGAAAAGGTGCGTCGAAAAGATCGCGAAAGCAGCCTACCAACAGAAACAAGAACCTCTGGACGCTGCGCTTTATTATTTAGCGATGAAGAAGAAAAATCTCGTTTGGGGGCTGTTTCGAAACAAGAGGGACGACAGAATGACCAGCTTTTTTGCGAACAACTTTACGGAGGATCGTTGGAGAAAAGCAGCGTTGAAGAATGCATTCGCGTTACTCGGGAAACAGAGGTTCGAGCATGCCGCTGCCTTTTTCCTATTAGCGTCCGCGCTCAAAGATGCCATCGACGTGTGTTTGAACAAATTGAACGATATCCAGCTAGCGATGGTGATCGCTAGACTCTACGAGGACGATACCGCATCCCCGCATATGAGGCGATTGCTCTACGAGGAAATTTTAGGCTACGATAAAGACGGTCAGAATCAGGATATGAACAAGGTACATCCGGACCCATTTTTACGCAGCATGGCGCTCTGGATTCTCAAAGATTATACCGGATCGCTCAACACTTTGCTCTTGACGAACGTCGGGACCTTGCATCCGCAATATAACGACGAATCTGACAAACCCGAAGGCACAACAGGTAATGGAAGAACAAACGTTCGTTTCGTTTCGTTTCGTTTCGTTTTCCGACACGTAGCTATGCCGTTTCTATTTAACCGCGATTTTATTTCTTTCAGCGAATCCAAATGTTTTCAACTTTTATGTTTACCTTCGGACACATCCGTTGCTGATCAGACAGTATATTGCTTCCACCGCCCTGGATAGGAAAAAAGGACATTCGGTAGTGATATCCGGCTTCAGTTACGGCACGGAGACCAAATCACAGCCCGACAAGCAGTTAACTTTGGAAGATAGCATCACCCCTTTGGAAAGGCAGCTGTACTTTACGACAGCTCACGCACACTTTAAGGCAGGATGTCCTGCTCTTGCGCTCGAAGTTCTTTCAAAACTACCCAGCAAAGTAATGGACACCAATTGCAAAGATTCACCCAGTACGTATCGCATCGCATCGCATCGCATCGCATCGCATCGCATCGCCCATTCAACCTTTCTTAATTCCTCGCTTTTGACATTTTTCTTTAGGTTTATTAAACAGTCCGAGTAAGGCAAGAACGCAAGATTATCAGATAGACACTGGTATTATCGCTTGGGACGACACTGAGAAAACCAACGCCAACCAGGACGAAGGTAACATCGACGTTCTCTTTTTCGTACGTAGTAATAAGTAAAATACGTTTCCACTCTTACGATTCTTGTATGTACTGTGGTGCGCGTTAGGTATCGTCGACTGGTCCCAACCTATGACGCGCATCGTCGATGAAGAGATGGTGCTAAACTGGGACGATGACGCGAATGAAAACGATGATACCGATAGTCCACCTATGAGCATGAAACTAGACAGAAAGGAGTCGAAATCGTCCGAGAAGGAGGGTGAGTCGAACCATAAGTTTCGATCCATGTCGATAACCGATTGTCCATTTCTCGAAACCTTTAAACATACGGCCATACGTCACGATTCGTAGAAAAGAGCACGAAATTGTCCGGTCAGCTGGACATTATGGCGCAACAATTGAAGTTTGTGGCGTGTTTAAAAATTCTAATGGAAGAATTGTCAACGTTGGCAACGGGTTTCGAAGTAGATGGAGGACAACTTCGATACCAACTGTACGTGTGGCTCGAGAGAGAAGTGGACGCTCTTCGACAACTTTGCAATTACAGTGTAAATTCGGACGGAGACACAAACAACGTTTCGGAATGTAAGGATGAAAATTATGTACCATATATATCCCTTTCGATTCGATACGCGAATTCTTTGCGAGTAACCGCAGTGAAAATTTCTTTTAGACGAGGGTGGCGGTATGGTCGATGACGTGCAACCGTGCACCAAGCCTGGTGAACAGCCAACGTTACACGAAATATTAGTAGCCGAGAAATTAGACTTTGAAGCTAAAGTTCAAAGAGCTGTTCGAAGAAAGAAATGGTTGAAAGGTAACGGCGAAACGGCTACTAATCCTACGAGTCGGTCGCGCTCAATCTGTTGCCAGTGTTGTTAATAATGTTGTTTACGGTATTTTTAGCGAATGAAACTTTACTGAGAACGTTGTTGTCCTATTGTTCGTTGCACGGAGCATCGGGTGGAGGTTTGGCATCCGTAAGAATGGAGCTTGTCCTCTTGTTACAAGAATTGCAACAAGAAAAGACGCAGCAACAGTTACTCAGTCCTCTTCCATTTCCAACCACGCTTCCTCTTTTAAGCGCTAGCGTAGCGTGCAACAAAACCGTCGTAGCTGATCCAGTCAGACACTTGCAGGTTCGCACGCGTTGTTAAAACTATCTAGCCAAGTAAGTATCTCGGTTGTGAAGCCAACGCCGAAACCTTTTTCTTTTCTTTTTTTTTTAGTCCCTCGCCCACGATATGTTGCAAACGTTGGTAGAATTGCGTAAGCCACCGATGCCGACGAGAAACACGCATTACTGCGAAGTATTTATAATGAGGGATTTAGCAGTGGCTCTGAGCGCGTGCATTTATCAGTCGCTTTGCGATTCCGACACTTTTGTCACAAAACATCAACATCCGGATAGGTAAGCTATACATATGTATACGTATCCAAAGTAAAGGTAAAGGTTATGGGATAGGGAAGTTTGGTAAATTGTTAAACCGTTGTTAATTGCGTTGCATAGTTTTCCAGCGGTTGCAGAAATAGAAACGTTCTCCGGCGGTCATCTGGTAGCTTCGAATCGACATCACAGAAGATATTCGACGGACGATGGTGTGTGTATAACCACAACGCCCTCGAAATGGCCCGGTGTTACGAATTTGCGTGCATTATTGGCTCGCGAGAAGGACGAAGACACGCCGAAATTGAATATTTTGCTGTGCGAATCTTTCGTGGCCACCTACATGAGTTTATTCGTCTACGCCCTATGGAGCTGCGACAGCCATATACTTTACAGGCTCGTAGGTCAACGATTCGATAACAGCACTTGGTCTTGTCTCTTTGGAGGCGGAGTAAAGAAATTACTGCGGGTTGCGAGCACAAGTAGCCAGGTATAGAAAAATTCGATTCGTTTCGTTTCGATTCGTTTCGATTCGTTTCGGGTGTAATCGGATGGTGTGTGTAGGTCGGTGGTAGTGGACCAGGGGCTATAGAAAGGGTCGAGGGTGTTTCGAGCGAAGCGCAAAGTACCGCCGGAGCTGTATGGACCACGATGACCTCGTTGACCAAGCAACGCGTAAAACTGAATATGAAATTATTGGGTCAGTTTACCGGTCAACAGCCAAACATGAAAGAAGACAAACCCACGTACAGAGAGCAATTCGTATCGCCTCAGATGAGCATGATCTCGTATTTTTTAATGAAGGTGAGCAGTAGTTATTCGCGATTAATAAGAAACCGGGGGTCAGATTCGTTCGATATCCTTTGTTGGTTGTTTCTGTTTTTCGTTGCACGGAGATAGCCGCACATAGATAGCGAGTACGCGGACGAAATCGATTACGACTCGTCCGACTCTGCGGTGTCGGATTTAGATTCGTCCGAGGACGAGGAAGACGTGTTCGACACAAACTCGAAACCAAAGAACAAACCAAAGGACAATACGGAGCATACGAATCCGAATTCGTACAGTTGGTGCATCATGAGATTGTCAATAGTAAAGATACTGCAACAGCAATTGCAAGATTTCTTAAACGTCGCTGGTATAGAGATGCAAGGTGGATATCTATTTAATTTCTCTAAAATAGAATAGACGAGGGAGGAGAGGAGAGGAGAGGAGAGGAGAGGAGAGGTTGAGAGAGATGATTTTTATCGAATGGTATTTTTCGTAGAGTTGCCTGTGAGCAGCCCGTTGATTCACGGAACGCTAGCTGTGGTGGCGCAATGGCAGGAAACGTTGCGCGAAGAATTGGACAGCAGGGGACCACCGGCGATCAATTACATTCCTGGATGTGCACCAGATACAACGGCCACGCCGGGAAAACCAGCGATCCACAAATACCGATCTTTGATCGAAAGAGGCAACACACCGTTCAAGTAAGATCGGGGAATAAAGTTGTCGTTTGTAGCGCGCGTCACCCCGAACAATCGCGTATTTATCTTTGTATGTTTAGCACGCGGTTAGCGTCGGTAGCTCCAGCCAATCGACTCTGGTGTTACTTGGTCAGACAAGAATCGGTACAGGATATTTTCATCAGAGCCGTATTCGGTAAACGAAAGTCGTTGTCGTCGATATTGGAAAGCAATCAAACCGTGATCGATAATTTGAATCGTGGAACAATGGCGGAAGACAAGGGTAGCGACAGTGGAACCACCAGCTTGCCCGAACCTGTACGAATCATTCACAAGGAACAAGATAGCATCAGTGCGTTTTGTCTGAATCAGGTTTGTTGCTCTTTTTACTATCATCATCCTTTTCCTCCTCGCTCGTACATTTCACAATTTTTTTTTAATCATTTACTGGCATACGCGTGAACGGTGGCGATGCAGGTAAATCCAGGTTTGATGGCGTTAGCTACTCCTCGCGAGGTACAAGAAATGAATATATCGCTGCTACTCGAGCTCCCATCTTGGTTGGAAGACGAATGCGAGTTTGACCTGATCAATTTGAACAAACAACCAGAACCCGAACCTGTACAACCAACCAGTTTCTTGGTGATTCAGGCAAGCATAACGCGAATCTTTTCCTTTCTTTCACGCCCCACGACTCTTCTTATCTACATACGTAAGTATGTATATCTTTGTTTGTACAAATACTTAGACGGCAGCGGATCGACCATTGCTCGCTCAAAGTCCACAAACAAACAACAGTCCTCAACCGCAGTCGGGCATTGCGAGTCAAAACGGAAGAGGAGCTAGCGTGGTAAGTGTCTTTTTAAACGGTTGGTCGCATCCGATGACTATCACTCGCGTATTTAAATATCGAGCACTGTATTGATCGATCGTGTGTTGTTATCTATTTGAAAATTTACACCTTTACGTCTCGTGCCCTTGCTTTCCGATCTAACCCAGATGTATCAAATTTTACCCATCGGATGTTACTTTTCTCCGTATGTTTGTCTCCGCGTGTGCGTCTGCGTCTGCGTGTGCGTCTGCGTGTGCGTCTGCGTGTGCGTCTGCGTGTGCGTCTGCTGCGTGACCGTGTATTTATACGCACGGAAAATAATCATCGGAAATATACAGTGTGTGCAGTACCCGAGAAACCTTTCTCGTAAAAAGGTTGCAATCACCCGTCACACGATAGCGTTTAAATATTCTCGTGAAAATAGAAATGAAAGGCACCTACTCGATTTTCTCATTTTCGCGTTTACGCGTAACAAGCAGAGATCTTGGATCGGGGTAACTTTGTTCGGACCCGATGATGCAACAACCCGACAACAAATACAAATTGGCAGTAGAAAAGTGTGAAACGTAGTAGGTACTGCTCCGGAAGAGGTGTACAATGGCATCGGCCGTTGCATGACACGTAAACAAGTTTGCACTATAGAATGCACCCTTTAAGAGACGCGGCTACTTCGAGGTTTCTTTCTTGCGACACGTATCGTATCGTAACGTAAAGTTGTATGTATGTATGTATGTATGGGGCGGAAAGTCGAGATCGAGTAAAATAAATATGGTCGCGGGAGGGAAGCCTCGATAGCCGTGGATGCATCCGTGATATCGTCGAGTAGTAATCGCACTGGGTCGAGTCAAACTAGCACAACTGGTGACCGACATGTTCCTTGTTCAATGCTTGCCTAACCGTCTATCTTGGTTCGCGTCTGACCGACGTCACTGACCTGGTGGCTCGTTCGCTCGCTCAGATGAAGGGGATGCCCGCTTTTCCTGGCTCCCACGACCTGCGTTTCTGTCAGTTTGTTGCCGATAGGAGCAAACACTTGTTGCAACCGGTGAGATTAACTTCTAACAGACCCTAGCCTGCATAATATCCTAGTATCTTAGTGCCAGTTTTCTATTCGGTTATTTCTCTTTTAGTTTTCCTTTTCGTAACCTTTTTTCTTTACTTTCTTTATTTGATTAATCGTATATACGCTTCAGTTCGTAATATCGTAAGCGCAAATGATCGACGTAAGTTTATCTTTCAACGTTACGTATGTACATCGCGCGGCGCGGTTCATCCTCTCTCGATGATTCCGTTCTAACAAAGAATCGTCATTAAAAACGTCTTTGAACCACCGTTTGCGACTGGAATATCGCGAATAATTAGAATTGTTGGTTGTCCGCTCGTCGAACAATGCCTGATAATATCTAGTATTTAAAATATGCCTCCTTTTCCTAGCTTCTTCCGCTACCGCTAACATCGCGACATCCGACTGCAAAAGGTGTACGCGCGTCCTACGTTTTCTTTCTTTTTTCATTCGACAAGTAACTTTTTATACGTCCTACAATTTCGTAGAGTACCTAAACGATTTTAAATCGTATTATTCGCTTACGAATCTTACGAACGAGCGACCGTTTTGTGTTAGAAGAATAATAGTAACAGAATGTATAATGAACTCGCCGCGGTATACTCTGACAAGGCATGCCGTTATTAATAGTTACAGCAATTGGTATTTCACTAAAAGTTTATGAAACATTGATTGTCATTTAAATCGTTTGGTCTAATGGTTACGGACCATATTTGCCTTACTGCCGTGTTATTATTATTATCATCATCGTCGTCGTCCTCGTCGTCGTCGTCGTCGTCGTCGTCGTCGTCGTCGTCGTCGTCGTCATCGTCATCATCATCATCATCATCATCATCATTGTAACCATTATTCGTTTATATTCGTTCACGTTACGTTACGTTACGTTAATCGGCTGATTCGAGAAAAATGAAATAATACGGGGTAAAGTTTTTGCTTCGCTCAAGATGTTTTCAATCACGAATAGGATTTACCGATCGATAACAATTACGAATTAGTGAATTTTTCTCTGATACCACCACACTACTGCATGCTCGATCAAAACATTTCCTTTATGTACGGAGAAAGTTGATTCAACGTTTTGTGCCTTTTGAACGTTGTCTCGTGTTGAATGTCGTCTGTAGTATTTAGCTCTACTTTGCTTATCCTCGGAGGCCACGTGTTCAATCATTTTCCAAACATTTCCAATCGAATCCCGGAACGCAGGGTCTACTAGCGGCATTTCCTACCTTCGGATTCCATCAAAATTTTGCGAACCATTTATTTCGAATAGACCGTGTCTAGTGGACCCTGATGGTTCGTGGATAGCGTCGTGGAGATACGTCGTTAAATCGAATGAAACCAGGGACGAACAACAATTTTAGCAATAAAATTAACCAACATCGGTATTGTCCAATGCGTGAAACTTGTTTTACCTTTCGTTTCATCGATCCATCGACATATACCCCGAAGAACGATCGTTTGGTCGTCGTAGGCTTTGGCTTCTCGAATCAACGACGAAAAAAGCAACGAGGAAATCGATAGCATGCGTTTTTAAAACGTACAGCCCGACCGATCGTGTTTTACACTAGGTAATACGTATATGTATTGTATGTGTTAAGCGTAGATCATCGTCCGTTCTTTTTTTATCTCTGTTTCGTTTACTTATTCCATTGCGTCTCGATACACGTATGCTAACAGAATTACGTTCATTTTTATACGATACGTTTATTATACATATACATATATACATATACATATATACATGTATATACATATATGTACGTATTATTTGCGAAACAAAGAACCAGCCATTCATTAATTATTAGTAGCCCCGATGTAATATCGGATACATTTTATTTCAACAGATTTTGAAGCATAAAATCGATGGTATAAGAAGAATTTCGTCGCATCCACTTTTGCCATTATGTAAGTATACTGTTTCTAATCCAGCCTGCCGCTACGTACAATCTCATCGACAAGTTTTCGCTGATTCTATCGCCGAAATTTAACGGATAAATATCTTTTTTTATCGACACGATCTCCTGCCCTGCCTCCTATGTGGATCGAACAGACTTGACCGGTTCTCAAGATGGCTCGGTATCGCTTTGGGAATGGGGACATAAAACGGCTGTGGCGACTCCCAGACAACCCGGAACCTTTGCAAAAGTGACACGCGTCCGTTTCTCGCAGCATGGAAATAAGTTTGGTGTCGCAGATTCCGATGGACATCTCAGTTTATTTCAAGTGGCCTGTCGAGAAGGAACAGCACGACCGTTCTTCGTAAGAATATCTCTCTACATTCTTCGATGATATCCCATCTAGATAGATACGTACAAACTTTTCTTATTTTTTTTTTCTAGAATTATCAGTGTCACAGCAAAGTGACGGCTGATTTTGTCTTCCTCGGTGCGTGCAGTTTAATAGCAACTGCAGGTCATGGTTCCGAAGGACGTAACGTTGCTCTTTGGGATACTCTGCTTCCGCAAAACAAATCTTTGATTCAGGGTATGCATTGGCATACATACATATACGATACGTATACATATTGTTCATCGACCCTCGTTATCTTTTCTAGGTTTCACGTGTCACGAGCAAGGAGCCAGCTCTTTGATACTCGCGCCGCAGCATCACCTATTAATTAGCGGAGGAAAGAAAGGAGACATTAACATATTTGACGTTCGACAACGACAACAACGACACCGCTTTCAGGCTCACGAATCGGCCATCAAGTGTTTGGCTCTCGATCCGCACGAGGAATTTTTTGTCAGCGGAGCAGGAGACGGTGACATCAAGGTCACGGCCAAACATATGCATATCGCAACATGCCCGCGTAAATACTAAACAAACATTTTCTTTTCTTCAGATATGGGGTCTAACCGTTCATTCTCTGATTTATTCCTTCCCCGGGGAACATCCACGTTCCAGTTTCTTCAAAAACATTGGACAAGTAAGTTGGCTCGACTTGATCGACATATATTTCTCTGAATCATAACGTCAAGAACGTTTTTCAGGGTGTGACGCAGTTACACGTAGATTCCGCAGGACGTTTATTCTCTTGCGGGGCAGATGGATCCATGAAAGTTCGCCAGTTGCCAGAACGCGATTGCGTTGTACACACTTTGTATTAGGGTAACAAAAATATGCTAATCTCTTATAAACAAAACGTTTAAAAATCAGTTCGTTCGGTCCACGAAACTAAACACTATTACAACATATTGATACATATTTTCCTCGTAAATATTCCTTGCACGACGAATATTCTACGACAAACGAGTATCTTCTCTTCTCTCCGTTTAATTATCAACGTAGAAATACTTTCTTTAATGTAATTATGCGTTTAATTATTCTTAAATACGTTTAGTTTATTCATTTATTGATCATCGTGCACAAGAAAAGGATCAAATTTAGAAAAAGTGACGAGTTGCCGGAGAACGGGACGGAGGGGGTTATTAAATTCTAATTTTACGGGGTTGTAAGGCATACGGTATCCACTGACAATAGGATACTGTTTTCTTCCTCTTTATGCGCCGTATATGTGTGTGAGTGTAAGTGTGTGTGTGTGTGTGTGTGTGCGTGCGCGTGCGTGCGTGGTGTGTGTGATATTTATACACGCGATGCACGCACGTAATACGACATCGGCCAACGTTCCTGCCCGTGGCAATGTTAGCGCGTGGAAAGCTTCCCAAGCTCCAACCCTCTCTAAAAGCTTACGTTGCGTACATACATACAACACTGTCGGAAGAAAAGAATCGTTCGCACCACTTTCTTCTCCCTTCTGCATGTGCTTACACTGTGTATTTGTGTGCAAAGCACGCATCTACAACCAGTAGACAACAGACAAACCAATACAGGCAAAATCAAAGACTTGGTATCAAAACTTGGTAACGTCATCTCGCCTCGGAAGCGTTATCTACTAGCCTCTTCTATTTAAATTTACTTAAATATTTGGTCATTTGTTCGCTTTCGAAGCGAATAAATACGATTAAGCTTCCCCGTGCTGCTCGTTTTTTTCTTAGTAGAATGTGTATATTTCATAAACAAGATACGCCAAAGGTAGTCAAATTGTTAATAGCGATTGTTCAACATGTATTGTCTTGCTTTTACATTCGCATCTAGTATTCTATATATATATATATATATATATATATAGTTAACTATTCGTCGCAAAGTACGATTGTATACGCATTTGTTAGCATTGTGACGAAATAAATTTTTAAAAAGAGCTTTCATCGTCTAAAGGAATGTTTAATGCAAATATTACGCTAATCTGGCATTCGTTGTACATGTAAATTTACGCAATGAAAATACACGTGAAATGAAACACAGTTATTTTTCACCATATCGTGCCACATATGTCATACTTATGTCATACCATACTAAATACTAAATCGATAGACTGGTCGATACAATTAATGCATAAATCCCAACAGTACTCTGTACGCTTGCACGTTTCGGAACACAAGCGATGAATCAACAAAAATATAAATATTGTAATCTGAATGTATTTCACAATCGTGACATTTATTTGCTAAATTTAGATTATATTAGATTATAAATGCATTAAAGTATCAAGAATTGTGCATTACTTTCGTAAATGTACGCCGCGACGCGTCTATCAAACTGATAGACTTCCATACCTAAGGACGACAACGTTCCATGAAGCGTGGATAAAGGCATACTTCGCGAATATGGTACCTGTTTAAAAGCCAACAGAGAAACCTCTCGAGACCCAATCCATACCCACCGTGGGGGCAAGTTCCATACTTTCGCTAAATAAATTACACGAAAGATCCGTTGGAAACGATAAAAAAAAATATTTCAAATAGAAACGTTAACACTCACTTGATCCGTATACCAGTAATACGGTTTTGGGTCAATGTTCTCGCGAGAATAACCCTCCATCAATTCATCGTGATGCCAAATACGCATCGAACCGCCAACTATCTCTCCAACACCCGGCAAAAGCACATCTACGGATTCTGTAAGACGTTTATCCTCGGCACAACGTTGCATGTAAAACGATTTAATATCTGCAGGAAATCGACAAAGCATTATCGGTTCGTTTATTTTATCGGTCATTTTTCTCTCTGGCATTTCTGGAATATCCTACGCGACAACAAAAAGTTTAAACAAACACATACCAATTATCAATGTTTAAATAACATTTATATTTAAATAAATCATCGATCGATCGATCGATCGATCGATCGATCGATCGTACCTCCCCAAATTCATAAAATGTTCCATCTTCCTTGGTTATACCATTATCTCGGAGATATTCGATCGCATCCTCATAATTCATCCTCTTGAACGGTCTTTTTGGTATTTGGAAATTAGGATTTAGTTCTTTGACGAGATAGCCAAGAGGCGATTTTAAAACACGATCAACAACATCGCATATCAAAACTTCCAAACGATCGAGTAATTCCTCGAATCGGATAAATGGACACTCTGCCTCCACATGCATATATCTAATAAATACAGAACTCTGGTGATATTTTATTTCGTTTAAAAATTTCATAAACGATTCTTAATCTGCATTTCAATTTTAGTGAAAAGGACTGTTTAAAAATTTGATATATTTACTCGGCAAGATGTCTCCGAGTCCTAGATTGTTCTGCTCTGTATGACTGCGTGATACAATATACGTCGCCCATTGCTGGCAGACAAGTCTCGAGGTAAAGTTGCGAACTTTGAGTTAGAAACGCTTCTTCCCTACGAATAAAAACTTGAACCATCGGTGGTCTAACGAGCTACATCCAAAAACCATTTCCTAACAAACAAAATCCAATTACCCAAAGTAATCTAGTTTAAACAACGTCGATCCACCTTCTACCTGTGTTTGTACCAAAGTCGGTGGTGTTACTTCGCAGTAATTTCTCTCTTTGTAATGATCCCTAAATGCCTGCATCAATATGGATCTCATGATCAATATGCGAGATGTCTAGAACAAATTAATCGTAAGAAATTCGTTAGCGATTCGTTACCAAATGATTTATAATCCTCTAAAATGACCATTTATCTAATTATTTTACATTTTCACCGCGTATCATGATGTGCCTGTTATCCAACTGAACATCGGGAAGAGCTTCTTCGTTTAAAATAGAATCTGCACCACCGGGAGGAGACGCCCCTATTAATTTCCAGTAATCGACATGCAATTCGTGTCCGTTCGGTGCCTAAAAATTATTACAGAGCATAGAAACTTTTGAAAAATTTTCGCGAAACTTCATTATACGCTATCAATTTTACATTTTTTCCTTCGGGCACAGTTTCTAAAGTCCCAAATACTACGATAGAAGCTTCGGTGGACAACGTTAATGCATCGTACGTTTGACATAAAAGATCGGTAAGCACACACTGCAGAAAACCGGTTCCATCTCTCAATGTAATAAACATGAGTGCTTTACCTATAACAACATATATAGACACTTTAAACAATAATAATAATTAATTAAAAAATCTCTAACATTCGATTCAAATACATTTTCCTAGAAATCCCGCTACGCGACTTCCAATTTCTTAAGTAAGATCTCGCAACTTGTACGTAAATTGAAAATTTCAATGCATCCGATCACTTTTGTACGTGCTATGATAAAAATCATTCCAGCAAACCGCACCTTGACGCCTAAGTCTGTGTACCCATCCAAAAAGTTTCACGCGCAGATCTCGAAAAACGACGCATTTATTAATTTTTATACACGTCGCAGCTGGTAAAGTCTCATCTTGTTCGATTACGATCAATTTGGCCTCTTCCAAGTTCTTCAATCTCTTTTCTTCATCTTCCATCAATTTCTTTTGTTTATCCTCTGTCTTATATCGTTCTCTCATCCAAATCTTTTGTACCTTTTTTAACTGAGACTTGGACACTACTTCATACTTTTCGTCGTTGCTGTGGGAATCTTGATAGATTAATGGAAACGGTTCTTTTCCAGCATAATGCATTGCTTTTAAAACTGTCTTAAAAGGATGACGTTCAGAACCATCGCCTGTTTCATCGTTTCCATTCTTCCGAGACGTATAAATGCCATCTGAAACAAAAACTTTCTTATTCTTCTACACGGTAAAATTCTAAATATGAAATTACTTGATTATCTTCCTAGAATAAAGACAATATAATAGAACTTTTACAGTTACTCTTTAGAAACTTAATTCTTAAAGACATTAACGTGGCACTGTAAATGTGAAAATAATTTCGATTTAAATCCATTGCGTTCATTTATAAAGTAATAAAAATTTACCTGACAATGAGTCGGAGGAGTCTTTCTCAAACATTTTTTCCAAGTATTTTTTTCTTATAATGTCAATTGTTTTTCCCTTTTCCTTTTTCCTTTTTCCTTTTTCCTGTGATATTTCCTCTCCTTTTCTAACAATTTTTAGTTATGTCTGAATCTCACGTTTCGAAACCTAAATGCTTATATCATTTATTACAATTATAATTTAATAAATATTTAAATTAGCTGATGCAATTTCTTACCTTGCTATCGCTATGATCGAACAGCTGATTCGACACCACGATTCACCGCATACTGACACGGTGGCGTTTAATAACGGATACTGGGACTGGGACTGGGATTCCTTTCTGCGCATGCGCTCCAGTGCGCATGACCAAAATTCCCACCAATGTCCATCACTGCTCAGAGATGGCAGATCGAGCACCCGATTGCCATGTGGCCAGTGTCCGTAACTTTGGCGCTGCACACGCTGTCGCGCCTTTACCGACGAATGGTTGAGCTGTTTTTCACACCAGCTTCCTTCCACTTTTCTTTGTTCGAGAGAAGATCTTGGAGATTGGTGTTATTCAGCCATATATGTATGTAATGTGATATTAGCAACATATTTCAAGGTCAAAGAGGTCGTTTCTCTTTTAATTACTAAAACAATTTTAACTCTATTGTAATAGGAGGGTGTCTCCTTATGCTGTACATCTTGCGTATACAATGTATGTATGTATTTTCCTATGTCTAAAAATAACGAAAATCTTTCAGGTATATAGAATTGTTGTCTCACCCTGTATATTAAAAACTATAATTAATTATAATACAACAAATATTTAACATTTAAATTCAAATTTTTTAATATGACAGCTAATGTTTATACAGTATACAAATTTTATAACTTTTACAAGTATAACATATAATTAAATATCAAGCATAGCTGAAGGGACCAGTGTTTAGGTATCGGATTAGCCATCATAGTCGATCGTAAGCGTAATTTTGTGTAATTTATTTTATGCTGTCTACAGCGGTGGTATCGTCCAGAGTATGTAGCCAGTTAAAAATCATCATATTTCTCTCGTATTTAGACAATTGGTTTCCACGTTCTCTTTCCACGTCTTTAATCGTTAATGCATGATTTCGGTCCTTTCGCCCTAACAGAGAAGATCCAGTAATGGTTGTTGTTGTTCCAGGAACTAATAACGAGGTTCCAGATGTAGTTCGTGCAGCGCTTGCTGCAGCTTCCAATTGATCTAAATTGAATTCGCTTTGTGAAAGCCGTTCCAAAGCGCGATAAGTTGTTAATAGTCTGTAAATTATGAAGATTTTTAAGTTATTTTTAAATTTCTGTACGCAACATTGTCTTTTTTTTCTTTTTAATGTAAAAACTTGGATAGGGTATTACATATATGAAGATAAACATTTACTGATTATAAATATTTTGCAAGTCGTTACACGGTCAGTGTTTCATCGTGTGGTGCATAATGAAAAATTTTCTTTAATCGTTCGTAACTGAAGAGTAACGTTTATTCGAACGGTAGAATTATTCAATTCACGTAGGATACTTTAATATCGAAAAGTAAGCATTTGCGGGCCTATGTTTACAGATAAATTTTTATGAATATGATTTTAACAGGATATGTATAAGTGGAATATTAGAATGGTATACGTATAAATAAATGTGTGTAAAGTTACCTTCGACGTATATAATTTTGGCGAACCTTTTTGTTCACAGATCTGACAAGATCTGCCCCCGTGAAAGGTACCGGAGCTAGTATTGGTGCGGGTGAAGGCTGTGAAGCCGACTGAGAGGTAGACGTTGATAAATGTTGTTGCTGACGCTGCTGCTCTTGCGCACTTCCTCCGTGAGGACTAGGAAGCTGCGACGTAATAGCTACTGGTTCACCAACAGCAACCCATGTACTGCAAGACCTTGAAGCATGATCGAGTCTTCTGTGCTCCAAAAATAGAGTGTTTCTTTGGGCAGTATCGAGAGTTAAAGCAGAAACAGCCGATCGAAGTCCATTTATGTCTAATGCGTCTGGACTTGGCAGTTGAGATACATCGCTTGTACTAAAGCTTTTGCGAAGACCAAGCGCCGAGGAAAGTACGCCACAACTTCGAATCAGTTCATTTTCTTCTTCGAACCAAAGAGTTTCTGGTATATCTGCTGGCCTAAAAAATAATCAAAATCAATCATTTTTAATCGATAAAATATTCTACTTTTTAACATTTATTATTATTATTATTATTATTAATTAAAGATCGTTACACATGAGAATGTCCAAAAAACTAACAAGGAGATCGTATAAAATATTCGACTAAAATTTGAATGAAATTTTATAGATATATGTATAGAGAATCCAAACATATGTATACATAGGATATACGGGGAACTAAAAATTCTCTTCCAATTCTCTCACTGTACTCCCTCCTCCAAATGCTTCTCTATTTTTTTCTATCTACTCAATATCCCTCGTATTTATTACTCTTATTCTCCTCCTACAATCTTTCCAATATTCTCCCAGCCATCGTCACTTCGTTATCCTACATACGTTCCGAGATCTCTCTCTCTCTCTCTCTCTCTCTCTCTCTCTTGCACATAAATTCCTTCTCTCCTTAATCCAGTCCTCGATCTAAACATCATAATCGTACTAATCATTTTTGCCTTCCCTCTCTTTTTCAAGTACCATGCCAGTCCCGTTCTTCTCTTTATTTCCCTGTACATGTATGTCCGTTGTTCCCCGTTGTTCGAAACTCAATGTCCATCTTACGTAGGAAGTTTTCTAACATGTAGAACCCAGTTCAGAGTTGGACTGGGAACATACAAACAATTAAAAATCATATACACGTGTGTCCTATTTCTCCTTATTTCCAAGTTATAGCCATTTATCTACTAAAGTAATATGCAATTGCTCACCATCGTGGGAAGTACTTTAAATATACACACGTTCGCGGCCTGAATGCGATCAGTCGTCGTGTCATAAAATATCCTAATCTCTCAAATATTCCAGATACTTGTCTGATTTGTTCACAGCATTCTCGTACACGTTGCCAACAAATGTCAACATTAGAAACGGATGCTGAATAAATAAATGTTTTTAAGCGACCCTAAAAATAAAAAATTTAGCGGATTCATATGTTGGGTTCAAGCAACCCTGGTAATGCATCCTATCCACCTGTTATAACATCGTTTGTTCAACAACCGACGGCTAGTCACTCCGCTAAAATGTTGTACCGGCAGACTGTCATGCATTCATCGCACGCGACATATGTACTCATGTAGTTGAACCCCTTCCAATAACTCGTGTAGTAATTCATTATCATAAGTTGGGCATGTACATGTTCCACCAGGGAACGCAAGTCTTATTACATTATCGCAGATTATTCGCGTTTGAACGTGTATCGGGTACATAGGTAAGTACTTACTTACATACGTGTTCACGTGAATTACGTGTCACGTAAAATAAGGATCTCTAATTTATACTTTTACATTAAATTGTTGTTGATAATTTCGTCAAAGTATATCGTAAGTAAAATAAATGCTAAAAAGTTCAAGTTCAAGTTTATCAGGTATTGCATGTAATCAGCTTATTAGAGTCATTTAGCTCTAGTTCGGTTTAGGATTAAGAATAACCCGAGTATAAAAATGGCTATAACTTGGGAACACGGTCAAACAAATTTATATGAAATTTTTTCACTGTTTTTATGTTCCTAATCCGCTGACGAAGTATAGGTTCCACGCGTTACGATATATGTATGTACCCTCTATCTAGACTTTTCTTGCACTTCTTCCCCCAATCCTAAATTTCTCTATGATAAAAAACCATCGTCATCATGCCAATACCAAACGGGTTCGAACGATGGAATACCCCATTAGCCTTGGGGTCTACTTGATCCCTCGCTCCCCTCGCCCCAGCCGGTTCGCAGCTCTAACCCAAACCTAACCCAGACCATTCAAATAGATAGATGTTCGCGGACGCACCGTAATCTCATCGTTATCATATTTATTAACAATCTGTTTAACATACAGATACGAAACGATCGCCAATTTTTCATCTCATTATCAGATTTTTCAACATTTTTACACGCTCTATCTGTATCTACAGCTGTTAAGGAATCCTGACGATATAATTATTATAGGAAGATATAAAAAATACACGCACGCACGCACGCACGCACGCACGCACGCACGCACGCACGCACGCACGCGCGAGCGTAATTTGTTTGGAATGTCACACAGTCAGTAAAACTCACACAAGCGATAAAGTTAATAAAATAACACACCTGTTGGCTTCGATCTGATGAGAATCTAGTTTCGGTGACGGGCCACGGTCAGCAAGATGTACATTGTTGTTCGACTTAAAAGTGACGAATCTGTTCGTACCTCGTAGTTCGCTTAATATCGTAGAGACACTAAATAGAGAGAGATCGGTCGTGACACTCTCGTGACTCGGTGATCGTAACATTCGTGATGTCACTTGGGATGCTGAAGAATGTGTATTTGTTAAAGTACTACAGCATTGTATATGAGCAATCAGCGGTACCGGCGATGTTGGTTTTGCATCACTTTCAGACATTTTCGACTCCTTCGATTCTTTAGCTAGTTCAGTTTTTCACAACTTGAACAACTTGAACAAATTTAACGGCATTCTTGTCATCGCTCTCAATCATTTTTATTTCAACGATGCTAGTGTAACATAAATTGATCCTATGTTGTTTTCTAGATAAACTAGGTGTAACTATATCGTTGTCGATGTAAAATTCTGAATATTTAACAAGATATACGTGTTAATCGCTTTTAACGATATCGATTTTTCTTCGTGAATACGTTGCGAATAGTTACTGCATTCAATTATGCATTTTGAACAGTAAATAACATATTTTCTTGCATGATTGAAAATCATTTTCAGTTTACTAATTAGATTAACGTTGGTTTGGAAATTAGGTTATTTATTTATATTGCGTAGGAAATCGGTAATCGTATTTGTATGCCAGCTAGTGTTCATATTTGCAGGCGGTTTCCATGCTCTCTTTCATTCGCATTATAAATTTTCTTTTAATTTCGAGTATGTCCTTGCTATTATGGGGTTAGGTTAGGATCATTTTTTAGAATTTTTCGTAGATATTCATTGTTCACCGTCACAGATTCATCGTGTCTGTTTACCATTTGTGACTGTTTATCATGAAAAGATCCTGAAAAAAAAAAGAAAAAAATAAAGATTTTAAACATTAGCAGTATGCAGTCAGTTTTTTTGTTTCTTTGATAAAAAATTCTTATTTGCATTACATGTGTAACTCGGCCTGTGAGTTTCATGCGAAATTCAATTCAGTTTCAGATTACAAAAGCTGCATATTTATGCTTGAATCTTCGATATTTACAATGTAACCATTCCAATCATTCATAAATATTCCGTGTTCCACAATTTAATGAGTAGTTATAAAGAGTTAATACCACATGCAGTTTTACTAATGTGTTTTGTAGTGCTGTCATCAGAACATAATGATCGTAAATTTGTTAAAAAAATACCAAAGTAAATAATACAATTTTCATGAATTTATACCGAGTTTTTACACGATTTATACGGATGATAAACAGTTGAAGTAATTTCTTAAAGCTTTTTTCATTTTTAGGACTCCTGTAAGAACCCTCGTATCAGGTAAGTAAGTACTATGTGCCTCGTTTGTTCCGGTTTTGTCACGATTCTGTTATGCACATATGTAACAGGCCAGTGTAGAATAATTAATAACTACGGGAACCAGACCAACAAAACATTCGTGGAGAAATTCGAGCTTAACCGTATTAACCAGGTAACGATGATCACCTACTTACTCACCGACTATCAAATCTCGCGTAAACTCTGGACAATTTTCAATTATTTCCTTCTTGGCTAAAATTCTCTAAAGCCGCCGCTTGAAAGAGGCTGTTAGTTGTGAGAAAAAGGTAAGAAAATTTAATCGATGTCTTGGGAATATTCATGAATTCCGGCATAAGCGAGTAATCGCTTCTACGCGCATGCATACGTTTTCTGTACAAGCAGTCGAATTTTCCATTTCTTTTTTCAGAAAGAAATGTTTACAAACACTGTGATAAAGGTGAAAGATATCGCTAATGATATGGCTAATACTATGTAGTTTAACAACAACTTTAGAGAATGTATACAATAGCATATCGTGCAAAATATTTCTCGTTGATAAATAATATACAAAATACACGTTCCCTCGACTAAACATACGTTTTATTACCCTTTCTTTGATTCAATTTCGGGAAAAGATATTTATTTAACATCTGCTGAAAGATATACATATGTATGTATGTATGTATGTAAAGAAATTATAGGTTTATTTATAAAAAAAAAGAACTGAAGGTGACATTGAAAAACAATTTAATAAAAAGTGTTTTGTAATTTCTTTTTACCACCATTTCACGTCATGTAAAAAGAAATTTCAATCGATCCACTGACAAGAGAATCCAAGATAAGATTGTTTTCTCGTACGATGCTTGATCAGCTGACTGGAAGAAAATAGCGCGATCGTGGATTTACGTACCCGCATACAAAAAACACGCAAGTGTCCACAACGACATAACATGTCAAGTTTTAACAGTTCAATCACAAAACTAAAGTCTTGTAAGATTAAAAAATAGTTTTAGACTTTTCTACATTTTCTCGCACGATGAATTTTTATACCTTCCGATTTGTTCCACCTTTTTAAAATACCCTGTAATATGGGGTATATTACAGGCTAAGGAACATGCTAACGAATATACTATATTTCATGATATTCGATATTTTATTAAAAATTCCTCTTCTTAAATTTATTTGAAATATACGTATATGAAACTTAATTCAAATCAGACATTTTTCATTTTACTTTTGAGGTTATGTCAGATGATGTTGAAATTATGATATCTGATATTGATAAATAGTAAATGCGAACATTAGATAGACACTTTCTCAGCATATGTTTAATTTTTCCTGAATACTTTTATTGTAACTAGAAAATGTATACTATTAGTTTTAAAAGTGTAATCAACTTTTTGTGTATACGTGTGTGTGCATTTCTAGTAGCAACTAGTAAGTATGTACTACGTGTAGAAATTTACTTTTTAGAAAATCTTGACGATTATCGTGCTTTCATTTTACCTAAAAACAGTATCAATTATTCTACGATTTTAATTGTTGATCAGAATGTTTCATTTATGGATAAGTATGCCCTTATATGGAAAGTAGATAGTTTAGGTAATAAGTTTCTATTATTAACTGAATATAAAACATTTAATGGAAAATAATATAACACTTGGTATAACGCTACAGAAACATTGTGATAAAATCAATATTTTTATACCATAAAAAGAAATAAAATAACTTGGTAGATACGACATAAAATAAAATTTATCTTAAACGACGCGACGTCACTAATACGTGTAATTAAACTATATCTATAAGTATATAGTTTATATGTAATTAAAAATTATTCTAAAATAATCATTGGTAGGAAAAATAAATGTCCTATCGTGTAGAATATTCATTGCTTAATAAGTCTTACTGTGGTTCGGTCAGTAGTTTCGATACATTGATCGAAGATATTCTTGCTTGAAACGTTGTTGCCGTTTTATCTTGAAAACTGCTTTAACGACCGTGTTCTTCCTTTTCTTTTCCCCTTCCACTGTTTCTTTTTAATTTTCCCGTTTGATCCACTAAAAACGAAGTGTAAGCACCACAGATCACGAGAATAGTTCGAAATTCGGAATTACACGAAACGATAGAAAACGACAGAAGATCGACCGATGATTGCTTCCTCTGGGCTATGGTTGATGCTCAGGACGATATCGCCACTGCACAGGCGTCGATCAATAGAAACAAGTAAAGCCACCGCCACCGTTGCAGTTCACGAACACTGCCCAGATACGAAAGGTAAGTAAGTACTTAAAATTTCTTTACAATTTTATATACATACTTACTATGTTTTATTTTTCCTTACTTATCCATTTAAATAGAGCATTCTTTATAAATACAAGTAAATATTATCGAATATACTATCGTAAATTTTCCAAGGAGAAGAATATGCGGCAATTACGACTAAACATGATTATGTATCATGTATCATCGATGAATCAGAATGGATTATGGAAAAATGTCGTTGCCGTTAGACGATCTCACCTATGCAGTAGTAAAGTGTAAGTAAGTACTTGTAACGGCCTAAATTTAACTAAAGTTCTTTGAAATATTATGAGAACCAATAGAAATGTTTAAATATACCTGTGAGTCGAAACCCTGGCGATTAAGAGAATAGATAGATGTTCCGTTCCTTAGTGTGTTGGTGGTATTCTCCAAAGTCTTGACAAAGTACACTCACACATAAGGAATGATTTGGTAATGAAATTTTGCTCTTGAATCTTTTGCAGTCGTAATTTGTACGTGATGGGATCCTCGAGCGCAAGTATCAACAATATTATTCGAAACTCGAGGCTTAAGGTTTCCTTCGGAAAAACATCCGAGTATCGAAAACATTGTGCCCCTATCGCATAGTTGGCGATGTTGCTGCTGGAGGGAAGGTGGGTGTCCGGTCTCGTAATTCGTAACCTGAAAATTGCTGCGATCAGCAGTTTATTGGCGTGTTGGCAGTTTCCCGAATATGTAATAAGGTACGACGTTATACATATGTATATTTTATGTTGAAATTTAAAAAGAATGAGCTATTAATTCCATTAATCGACGAGAGTTACTTCTGACGATTAAATTTTCAATCGCATCCGTCGATCGATTGATGATTTATTCGAATGAAATTGATCGATTGATCGATTGATCGATTGATCGATTGATCGATTGATCGATTGATGCTCAACTCTGGACTATACAGCTTTAATTCCGTTAAAGTAGAAAAGAATTCCTGCAATATCATTTCCTACTTGTCCATTTCCACTTTCAACTATTGATGTACGACTATTTATGATGAATTATTTTACGACTTCATAGTGTGTGTTGTATCATTTACTATGAATTGGTTAACATGTAATTTTAAAGTTAAATAGACACAATACGTATATTATCGTTGAAAAGTATCTAATTTAATATCCGGTGTAAATAAAATTTGCTTTTAATTAACATGTACGTGTATATTTATTAAAAATTGTTGCTTTTCATCAGAAAATCAGAAAAATTACATGCAAGTACTAATAATTTCTAATAATAAAAACGACAATGTTACTTTTTTTTTATGAAATGCACATCTAACGAGCGATCGGATGTTTTTCAGCGATAATGTATAGTACATATATTATATGTGTGAAAATTTCTCCTCGTTGGAAATGATAAAATACAATCGATATTGCGAAAGATCAAGTTTGTTTAATATGTAAAAATACTCTTTACGGGTTGCAACGATACTGTTTAAACATTTATTTACAATACTAATCGTTTTGCATTCGACATGCATTTTTGTTAAATACAAACCTACGACTATGATCGAGTTCGTATTTCGGATAGAACTCTCGATAATCCTATGGCCTCCCGACATACTAATATTAACAATAACAATATCGATAATTTTGGAAGAGGGCGGTTGTATAAAAGTTGTACATATATCGTACCTATTAGAGTTGGATTCTACACCTCTGTAATCGTAGTAGATCTCGAGTAAGTTTTAATCAGTTTTAGCTTGGAAAAACTTGTTCGACAGTTATCGAGAGCCGTTGAAATGTCAAAGTTATTTTTTAAATTACTCTGTCCAGCGAAGAAAATATATCTTTTTATTGTCCGTTGTTTCCAACGAAAACAAGTAAAACTCTTTGTTCATTGCGATAGACCGAAATTGCTAGGCCCAAGAAAGTGCTGGCCCGAGGTAAACAGCCTATAATAAAAGCCACGGGGCATAAAAAATGGGTTTGATCTTGACGTTTGTAAGCGAAGGTTTGCCTTTGCTGTTGACTTATCCCAGAATCCAACTATAATAATGATGAAATATTATTTTTATACATCCTGTACATGGTCATCCATCCATCCATCCATCCATGCATGTATGTCGTCGTTTCTTTTTAAAGATTCTGAGGTATAACGAGCGCGAGTTAATGTTTCGTACGTATCGAAAGAACATATAAACGATTATGGTTACGCGTTTGACGTAAACATAATGTTCCATTTACTAGTAAAATAACTTGTCGTCTGATGCGGAGGCCAACCTATTCGTTCGTCGGTTTCTACCTCGTTTTTAAACGTTTCAACGATCGACATTAATTACATTTAATAACCAGATTTAATTAGTTTGTAAAATTATATCTGGCAAAGTTACCACCGGTAAGTCTTTCGAGAAAAATAAATATTTATCAACGTTGGAATTCCAAACAAAATCGCGTTTAGGAATAACGAAGGAAACGTGTATTCTCTAAAAAGAAATTGTTTGGCGCTTCCAAAGTTTTGTATATGTATATTTGGTCGTTACGGAGAATTGCACCATCTGTACGAAACGCAACGCATAACGTAATTTATAGAATCTTTTCTAGTATATTTGCTTCTTCTAGGAAATTTGAATAATCTATATTGGTGTTGTCGGTCCTTTTGGTTTAATCATCATCGTAGCTCGTTTTAACGTATAATCCCAACCCCTCCAACGGAACCATACGATACCTTTCAACAGAAAAGAAAAGAAAAAAGTTTACCAGGCGGCGAGGATAATACATATAAATTATACATATGTATAAGGCGACTCCTAGCATATACTCGACATTTATTAAACGGATATTTGCGATTTAGTTTCTTGTCAGGGTAATGTACGACTATTATTTGTTCTTATTTTACTTTCGATTCGTTGAAAAATTGGACAGAGCCAGAGGACGAAGATACGAGAAGATACCTTGCCGAGCGGTCAAGTCTTGAGGATCGTTCAAGTAAAGACCATTCAATCCGCGTCCGCATGATTTCCACCACCATCCACCCTTGAGCATGGAAGCACAATTCAACGACGATCTATCGTTATCCCTGTAGAATCGGACAAAGTGTATCTCGATTAGGTTTTTTAGGTTAACGATCAAAAATTCTATAATATCTCTATAAATCCGAGGGAAGAAAAAGCTGGCCGCGAAAGACGCGTATCAAACTATCGTCTTGCATTTATACAAATAAAAAATACATAATACATAATAACGAGAAAACCAGTCAGTCACTCTGATTGATATTCCTCCACTAAAGTTTGTGTATTTTCAAATATGTATCGCGTCCTCTTTGCCAGCGATGATTGTGCATTTGTATTGTAGCGCGGCCAGATTTTTTCTGACAATCAGTGGTACAACGACCAGTGTAGGAGAAATTATGTAAGAAATTGTCACGTATCCAGTGTACACGTATAATTCCCCACACAATTATTTTGGTCGTTTGCTACCAAATTTTTGTAGCATTCGAACGTATAGAAAAATTCTTACCTGTTATACGTCGAGAAAGGACTATTATTTGAACCGTACCAAGGATCGTTTAAGGAATCACCTGCATTTCCGTCGTAACCATCGATCTCTAATTTATAATACTCTGCTTCCGAGTAAATTTTAAAATGAGAATACTGTGCGTATCTAGAAAATAAATATCGCTCGGTATCATGTAGTAGGTATACACGCGCGACGGGATGCAGCGACAGACCAAAACGGTGTATATTCATTTATTTATAAAACTGTTTATTTTATTACTTTTTGTTTCCTTCGAAATCTTCGAGTTCCACTCTAAGCATATAGTCTTCGTTATTCGTTAACATGTATATGTTCTCGTTACCAAGCCAAAATTCTCTGCCAGGATCGCCGAACCCGTTTTTGTAGTCTGCCCAGTCTCGATTGAAATTTTCTCTTGGCTCCCCAAAGTCGTCTCTTCTTTGAATAACCTATGCATGAACATCACTTTATCGTATATGTCGATATTTAAAAAAAAAAACAATTGTAATTTTTTTTATCGTGTTTTCTTTTTCAAAAAAGAACAACAACAACAACAAAACGAACCAACGCGTCGTGGATAGAGCGTACTTTGCTGCTATGAAAGTTATATTCTGCTCGATACTCGCGCGATTCATGCGCTGTCTATGTTTTAACGCCGTATTTTTCAACAGAATTGCATATACGCATAACTGTATACGAAGCAGCTGACGTTGACACGCGACACGCGACACGCGACACGCAATGAAACGAATCGTGTATCGATACGGTAAAAAAGTATCTTCCGTTTCAATGTCATTCTTACCGTCCAACCTCCTTCGGCGACGTCTTGTTCGCAATAAACTTTTAGGAACCAGTAGGTTGTACCGCGTATTTGAAGGTAGTAGACACCACTATCCCTCATGCCCGCGTTTAGTAAATCGACACACGAATAGCCCTGTAACAATTACACGTGTATATTAACACTCGATAGGTATACTGTGTGCACATCAGGATGGGGTCCTTGGCTAGAAATTGGCAAAAATTTCTTTAAGATTCTTCTTTTCCTTCCACAGTTGGAAATTGTTCGAATACTACTAAAAAGATAATTAAAGTTCGTTTGTTGAGTGTCTCGAAAATTTTACAGGGTCTTATAAGTATATGTGTGTGTGTGTGTGTGTGTGTGTGTAGAAGAGAGGGTAGAATATAGGGAATATTTGTTGTTTCTTGTACACGGTGCGCTGGACGATTTGATAGAAAAGTATCGAAATCGCAGAATACATGGTTGGATATTTCTAGAAATAGGAAGGTAGAAGAAAGTAAATAGTGCCAGGGTACATATAACCTAATGCTCACGATAAGAGTCATCGCAGTAGTATTCGATTATTCGAGTTGACCGTTTAAACACGGTAAACGAGTAAATCCAGTATAGCGACTTTCACGTCGCGGTTTAAAGTTCTCGAGACGGCAATTACGAGCAACTATAGGTCGTACGTTTAAATGAAACGTCCACAACGGTAATCGTTTTTGTTGCATAAGCAATTTTCAAGCATAAACCTTCCTTCCCGAAATACACCACATGGGTGCATTTATACCTATGCATGGCGTGTTATGGTAGTACCTTGTTACCTACATTAAACCGCATACTTGACAACTATCTACCGATAATCTATATTTCTATACATATCACCAGATGTATATCATGGAAGAAATATAGAGAATCGAGGTAGGTGAAGATACAAGTATCCCGAACAGGCTAGGGTGAGTTTTAGCAGGAAAAGAAGAAAAAAGAAATGAAATAATATTATTGAATTTCTCCCGCGAAGAAAAATGTAGGAGAAAATATGTACGGAATATGTAGATGCGCGAGTGAGTTTAGGAGTGTGTTGTACGAACGATACATATATGTATGTACATATGTACGTGTTTTCTTGGGGTGTAGTTTCCTTTCCCCGTTGGTGATATGTACCGATATTCGTTAGGGCGACAATTACCTTAACATCCTTATAACTGAGAAATGCATCAGTGGTGAAAGTCGAATTCGCCGGACTGGGTTTGTTTTTCACACTTGGAAATATAACGCCACGATTTTTAACCAAAGATCTTTGTGTACTCGAGGACGGTGATGTCCCAGAGGCTGTGCTCGAATTAGAGAAATTACTAGTACCATCGATATTATTAGAATTGTTAAAATTAGTGACCGGTATGATATTCGACGACGTCGAAGAAGACATTGACATTGACACCGATGAAACGACGGTGGTTGGCGTCATCGTTGAAACGGTGGTTTCGGTCGTAAGATCTTCAGATAATCCAACGTATCTAAAAAGAAGGAAGTCAGCGTAGACATTAAATCGTTTAAAATACCTTCTCGCGAATCTATATTTATTATCTTTATAAATCTCGCGTAGCCTAAAACTTGAGAACTCGGGGCACGCGCGCGCGCGCGAAGCCCTTTGAATGTTGCGAATGCAAACGTTGACGAGCAACCGATCGAATGGAAAAAACATTCAAGGGAACTGACCTACTCGAATCATATTCGACGAGTCGATCGATCGTGGGATCGAGTAATAGTTCCGCCGGTATTGGACGTTGGCCAAGAGTAGCAACATCGTCCTCTTGCTTCCTCAACCTATTCTCGACTCCTTCCAAGTTTTCGATAATCAGATTTGTCTTTGATCTTAAATCCGCGTGAATTTCGCTTATCGCTCTTTCCTGCCTTTGCGTTTGCGTTAGTAATTCCTCCGATTTTGGCAAAAGATCGTCCACGGAACTTTTCGTGCCAACCTGTCCGAACGATTACAATATAATAATAAATATTATCGAAGAAAGAGAGACCAAGTTTCAACCTGTTGTAATTTTTTTAATCTGGGACGGCATAAGATATTCGTTGGAATAGTTGCAGTATTTAATAGAACAAAACATTTTATTTATCGAGGAACGTTCCGTTTCTTTTTTAGGCGAAAAGTAATTAATGTAGCAATAAACAACAAGAAATCGGATGGGTTAATCACGATTCTTATTGAAATCAAAGTGGAAAATATCAAGATGAAATGAAGCAAGCGATACTTGATCGAAATACATATCGACTCACCACAATGTTCCAAACTTCGTCCATCTTTTCGGAAACAGTCAACATAGGATACATCTGTTCAACAAGTCGGTCGATCTTATTTTGTTTCGACGGTATTTCCGTGGTCGTAGTAACGTTGATAATTCGTTGATCGTTTGCGTTTGCGTTTGCGTTTGCGTTTGCGTTTACGTTTACGTTTGCGTTTACGTTTGCGTTTCCGTGGCCTCTTACAAGAATCGCATCGTGCACATCCGTCATCATATTGTAAACCGACTCCAAATGATCCGAGACCAAGTTCATATGAAACTGCAACTTTCTGTCCATGTTACCCGTAGTCTGTCTTAGATTTTCAATCTCGATCGTAATGTGATTCATTACTTCGTTGCTCATCGCTTTTGTGATTTCGATTACGCTCATGCTGACTGGCTTTTTTTCGCTTGCTTCGGCATTTATGTCATCGTTTTGTAAAAAGTTATTGTCCAATTGATTCTTGAGATCGACCAATTTGTGGTCTATATCGGAAACCTTTTGATCGAGCGACAATAATTTATCACCGAGGCTCTCGGACGATGGATCTCTTCGATCGTTATGAATCGTTTGAATCGTCGAAGCTGTTTTCTCTAATAAATGCAAATCGATGTAAACGTAAGCGATTAAATAATCAAGTGGAAGAAAATGTAGGTAATGTGTAAGTACGTATAACAACAGAGTGAAACTAATATGTGTACTTTTGTGTGTGCGCGCGCGTGCTCGTGCGCTCGTGTGTGTAGAATTTTAGCACGAGAATTAACGAAACTGAATCATCTTCGTATCGGCGTATTGGTGTAATATAAAGTCTATTAATAGAAACTAAAAAAAAAAAGCTAAATTTATGTAATAAATTATACAACATGTATAGACAAGTCACGATCTTCTATTCCGTTTGCTGTTCCTTTTAGAACGGCCCGTTTCAGTTGAACAGTTGAACCACTTGCAAAAGAAAATTCGACATTTACGCTTTCTATTTGCAATCTTCGAGCAAACAATTACTGTACATTTTTGATCGTGAAAATGTGTGTTCCTTTTAATAACCTGCATCGAGTTACGTATTTAGAAAACTCTAAACAGCAGAAGCAGAATCTTTGGATCTTTTCGGAATCTACTCTCACCGGTCAACAGATTTCTTATCCACGGGTGTAATATGTATATCAAACGATCGACACTCCCATAGGTTGTAGAAACGGAAAGGAAAACTAATGCTTGTTTGTGTACATACCGCCTCCGATTTCACTGTTGTTTTTATCATTGGGTAGTTTTGTTGAATAGACGACACGTTCGGTTGGCAAAAACATTGCTGGCGAATTAAAAAGCTTCAAATCCAACGTTCGAAGCTTGGTAATTACCGCATCGGTTTTATCGATGTTATCGTTCACGCGCGAATCCAAAGCTTCTACTCTCCTCATCAGATGTTCCACCGCTTTGTCTAGATTTTCGATTCGCTGCAATTTTGATTCCAGAGTCGAAACTATTACCTCGAAAACATTGAAGAGGTACTGTTCTCTGAAAATATTATTTCAAACAAAACCATAGTAAACACCTTATTATTTATATGTATATTTAAGAGAATTTTAACGCGAATATAAAGACGAATTTGAATGTTGACTAGGTACGGTGATGAAATACTTTCCTTTGTCGCTAATCGACTAGTTCTCGTTTCGAAAATAGAAGAAAATATATTTTCCATAATTGGTACTGCGTTTAAAATAGAGCTTGATCTATGGCAGCTTAAATAGATGTATCCTTTCTCCTCTGTTACGATGTAAGCTGTAAGCGTGCCTTGAATTTTACGCAATCGTTTCGCAGCCAGGCCAGCAGTCGTACTCTCATACTTACCACGATCCTTTCCAATCTTATTAACCAAGATATAAAACACGCTTAACATTTAATACATTGTACCGTTTAAACTATATGTAAATAATGATGATTATACTTGCGAGTATCGCTGCGTGACGTTATGGTTATCAACGAGTTATTAGAACGAGCATCGACGCTAGAAGAAAGTGTCCTAACTGATTAATGGCCGTTAAAGGTGCAAACATTAAAAATTTCATGCGTATATGTATTGCGAATGGAATCCTTTAGAGTGCTCTATTGCTGCTGATAGTACAGACTATTAGTAAGTAGGTACAGACATTGCTAGATAAGAATTGTGGAAAATACATATGTGTTAGGCCACATATATGTATTTCGGGGGTATGCGTATTCATAAAAAATAATTTTTTAATTTTATCGAAAAATTTGTCCACCTACTCGAATTTTTGTCTCGATAATGGTTAGGATTTCGAGGGTATGTCTATTGGCCAAAAATGATTGTAATTGATCTCCACGACCGAAAATAATTTTTTTATTTAATTTCTAATTCACACGTGTAACGCAGTTATCAGAAATCCAGAAGGATTGCCGATGCATCGATCACAATCGAGTTTTACATACGCTTACGTAATGTTCACCCAATTACGATTTGTTCGAGTTCCTCGATTTGCCTTTGTTCTTCTTTATGTACAATGTGTTATCGGGATGATTGTTTTGTTACTATTACATGATGGATTACTTGTCGAGAAAACATTAAATGGGTGAAAAAGTTTAAATAAGCGGCATTTACGTGTAATATGTTTTTAAAAATAGTTTGTTCTCTGTGCGATTCCTTATAATGCATTAACAGTGATTAGTGATCGTTTAGTGATCGTTTAGTGATCGATCGAACGGTGAAAGTAGAAAAAGATATTATGAAAATTATTCTCGTTGAAGAAGTGTCCCGAGTATCGAAAGGATAAAAAGTAGGAACTGAGTGTGGAAATGTGGAAGCGAAATGTTTTGCGGCATAGAACGGACGACAACATTCCGCGGCCGGAAATACCTATAAGAATGTTTGTAAAAGAACCAACGGATTGTAAGGCGAAAGTGATAGTTATAACGAAGCGAGTCTAAAGGCGATCGTAGATCAACGTTGCATTGAAAAATATTATTATTATATTATGACATAGGATCCTGTAATAACCCAACCACAACAAACTGTAGTAAATCTGCAAACGGTATATTTAGAAGCCATAATCGGTAAACTTGTTCGCGTTCATTCCGTCTAATTGTTTTGCATATACATACTTTGAAGATTCTTTAGACACGTAAGGTAGTTGTATATGTATAAGCTGAGATCAACAGAGTCGTTCCTTCCTTCCGAGGAATCTAGTAAAACTTGTGCAATCGTATTGTCATAACTGGAGCTCGGGGAATTGTTACGCAACGAGAAAGAACTAGTGCCCCACTGGCGTCATTCTATCCTTGTGATCCGATCGTTCTCTTTCCGTTCCCTTTGTGTCCTTCTCGCAATATCGTTAAGGAATGTGTACCGATCGAAAGAGGGCACCTATCGATTTACCGTTCCTGTCTATCAATATGCATATACAACGTGTAATCGATTTTTTCATTTCAAATCAAAGTTATTCATTTTTTTTATTACCGTTTATCATAAATCGGAATATTTAAATATACGTATAAATAAATAACATTTGCAGAATACAGAATACATAGAGAATTCGGAATCTATACAGGTATGTACACATGTATGTATGTATGTATGTATGTATGTATGTATGTATGTATGTATGTCTGTCAGGTAAATGTAAGCCTTCCGGTAAATCATAGAATGGAAAAAAAATAATATTTTTATTACCCTAGTGATTTCAGAGACAGCAACTTGCAATGTTCGAGATGTGTACCCTGTGGTGATAGCACGTACAACTATGCGTATACATACATACATACATGTATATGTATATTGTGAGTATAATTGTATGAAAAAGCACAAGATCTAAAATAATGTACATGTAGAGTGGGTAATAAGGTGAAAGGAAAAAGTTGTGAACCCTTTCATTTTTGTAACGTACGTATGCGTGAGAAAGAATGAAAAAGTAAATGGGTGGGGGAGGGGTTCAGGATGGAGTGGGATTGCAAGTCGGAGAGGGAAAGGGCGAGGGAGAGGGAGAGAAAGCAGAAACAAATTATTCTCGTAACTGGAATTTAATGAACATTAAAACGTAGCGAAGGGAAACGAAATGCTTCTGCTTGTTCCTAAATTCAACAGATTCATGATTTTTCAAACCATCACAGACACTAATTTCAATCCATTGATCGAAGCACATTAAATAAACGAACGCTTGGTAAATCTTGACACATTCAGGATCGTAACACGATCCTTGTGGAATAGATTTTTTTAATAACTACGACACGGTTGTCTGGTTTAAACGCGTACTACTTTTCTATAATGGCAGCGTTTTACCGAAGGCTTTTTATTTCGAAACTTACATGTTAAAGTTTCTTTCGATTTATAGTAGGTATCTTGGTCTTGTCTATGCTCCTATCGTACAGACAAATACAAGTATTCGCTTATGAAAAATAATATATTTAGCAAATACTAAAACTAAAACAGTTTTTAATAGTCAGTTTCTAAAACTTGCACACCCCGCTTCATATTGCCGCTTTTTCAAAATACGAAACGAATATTTCCCATAAATTTTCAGTAGGATAAGAAATAGTACCGACTATTTTACAGTTTTAATCTCGTGATACCTAAAACCATCATTATACATATCTGTAGTGCGTTGCATTTTAAAGCCAGTTCAGATCTCAAATTGTTGACAGCGTGGTGGAAAAATTTCTTGCAATTGGTATACTATAACTCACGCTGCACGCGACGCCACGCCACGCGACGCGACGCGACGCGACGCGACGCGACGACGTTTCGAAAACGTTTCGAAAACGTCCATTTTATGTCTGAACGTTTCGAGACGAAAATCTGAACGTTGCGTTGTGACGTTGCGAAACCGTAACCGTATCGATACGCGATCGCGATATTTTTCAAACGACTGGAACGTTTAAATAGACGTGTTTGGTCAACGTTGCACTAACGACAGATGTCCCGTCGCTATTAAAAACTTTAAATGTTATCAAGATTCGATTAATTTTAAATTGTATAAAACGTATCCGAGATGCCATGTGAGAAACGTATATACTCGTACCAGACGTATCTTTAAGACGATTTTCTGATCTCTGGGAATGAAACGATAACTCGATACTAAAAATTCTTTTATTATTATTTAATAAACTTATTCCTTTGACCAAAGGATAAATAACATTTACCATAAAATGCACAATAATTAATTATTTAGGAAAATAATACAAAGTTTGATTTTATAGCATTACGTTTCCTAGTAAGAAAAAAATCAATCGTTCTAACTAAAACGAATGAAAATTGGTATACTTTTGTTCAGCAGTATAGTATATGCGCCTTATTACTATTAGGACATCGTTAGAAAAAAGAAAGTACAGCAAACAAGTATTAAACCGAATAAGAGGAAAGCAAATGGCACATGGACCATTAGCAAAATTCGTAACAGTTTGGTACACAAGCGACGAAAGTGTAGCGTATTAAATGGTGTCTGTAGAAGGTTCGTTACGATTTAAAGAAAACAAACTTTTCGCGTTGTTTTATCAAGTTACATAAACGGAGAAGTAACGCAAGCGAACGGTGCGACAGTACAACGCAAGACAAACACGACACGACAGGAGGATTTATAGTGGTATATTGTAGGTGTACAGTGCTATACGCCGCACGAATCGAGAGGATGAAAAGAGAAAGCGAGAAAAAGGAGAGTACAAACCTGTTCGATACAATAGCGGAAATTCTTGCTTCGATTTCTTGCGATTAAAATGTGATCACAGGATTTGCGGCATTTTCGTTACAGTTAATATCGATTATCGATCGAGAATGCTACCAAAATTCGATTATTTCCGAAATGTACGAAAATGAAAGACCCAACCGACAAAACTAGTTAAAACTTTTCTACGTGTATAGGTATCACCGTACACACCTACTACCAACGTAAACGTCTCTTTACAATTCGACAAGATATCACAAGCATCGATGTACTTATCTTTCAATTTATACATCATTATACAGACACTCTCAGTGTATAAGAACTTGATACGTGGATTTATCAAGTACATGTATCAAAGCGAAGCATGAATATTTTTAAAAAATTCACAAAGTTCACAGACTGTGTGTTCGGAATTAAAGTGTCGCGTAAAGTTTTTACGTAAACAAAATCTGAAACGATTACTTTTAGAAGCAACGTAGAAGCAACGTAATATTTCGGAAACGTTAATGATCGAAAGGTTTTACGTAAAGGCAAGGCAACCTACTAAATTCAAGGTTACGGAAACTATTTTTTCAAGTATTACAAATTATTTAAATGACCAGTTTGAAACCTATTAAGCTCGAGTCGCTCAAGATTCTCTTCAGAATTCATCTGGCTGAAATATACTATGTACCTGCTGATTACATTTGTGCGCGTTACGCGTTAAATAGAAATTGATTTTGTCGATTTTTCATTCTCAGATTAACGAAGCAAACATGTGTAGCAGTTTAAAAGAGACTTGAATACCTTACACCAGCTTACCTGTTTCGTTGAGGATTGCGGATAGGTGCCGACATCGTATTTCCAGTGACGATGCTTCCATTGTTAGTGACATTACGTGTATTACGCTCGTCGGCAGAGGTTCTCGGCAGTCTAGGACTTCCAGCAAACACGAAACCCAACAGGCACGTGGTAATGATTATAGCCTCTTTCATACTCGAAAACTCAACGGAAAATAAACGGAATATGATAAATAGAACGAGATACGACGATAAAAAGAAAAAACGGCCAAAGGAAGGAAGGAAGGAAGGAAGGCATCCAATTTTAAGAACACGAACCAACACTCCCGATAATCACTGTGGTGTTGTATTACCAACTAGCTCGTGTACTTCGTGTACCATTAATATACACAAAGAAGGAAAAATACACCAAACAAAACAAACTTGAACACAAAGATCGAAACAAGCGAATAAAATCGTTTCTCGAATCGTTCAGCTTGACTCGTTCGCTTCGATCTCAATCTGATCCGAGGACGAAATGACTGGGAATTGAGAGACGATTAACAAGCCCACTGATCACTCGCGATTCAAAACTTGCAATATAATCTTCGCAATCGCAACAATAACTGAAACGGTTTTCGTTTAAAGATTATCCATTCCTTATTCGCTTTGTAATTAACAATGTCTGTGTCCTCCGATCCTCCGATCCTCCCCGAACTAATATTAATTACGATTATGTCTGTAGATTTTACTTGGAAAAGCGTAACAACAACCAATCGACAAGTTTAAGCGTTTACCAAATAGTGAGATAAGCATTTGCTTGTTATTTTGCGTGTGATTTATAATCCTTTCTTCGATTCGATTTTATAACGTTTCTGTATCCTTTTTCCCCCAGCAAAATCTTTATTTCTTCAATCTCTTATGCTCCTTAGTGTCCGTTTTACTTATTAATCACACTCGTTGTTGATCTTCGCAGTTCTCGTTGAACCTTCCTGAAGAATAAAGCAGCAGCCCTTGGTACATGCCGTAGGATTTTCCTCTGTATTCGTCGATAAGTACAGGTTACAGGTGCACGGACCAGCAAGAAAGAGAAAACGAAACGGTGAAGGAATAGATTGGTAAAACTGTGCGCGCGCGTTGTTTCTCGAAAGACTTTCGCCCAAGATACTGTGTCCTGGACGACAATTTAAAGAAAGTACAACAGCTTGTTTTTACCAGCAAGAGACCGATTGATTATATGAAAAACCAGAATCATGTAATTACGTCCACGCGCGCATACACGCTACCGATTGACGATCGAAATGAAAACTATTAATCGATAATCGTAGCTCGTCGATCGGTTCTCGACGCACAGTCTTGTAAATTGTCCTCGGCCTGGCTTCGACCAGAGTTCGGCCGCTGGTCTTTGCGTTATGTTGGTTACGTCTATCGGTGCGAATCAGAGAACCGCGCGAGGCTCGTGCCATACACGGTTCTATCACCCCTACTTGCTCTTACGTTTCTCGTTCGCCCGTTCGTCGTCCCTCTCTTAATAAAATACACACCGGTGTACCGGTATACCGGTATACCGCGCGCACCGTATCTTGACTTTGTGGTGAACGACGGGACCACCGACACCATAAAACACTAATATGTATACGATTCCCGCTCAACTGTAAGAGTTACTTTCACGTACATACGTGTCTACGTTGAAAGAGTACCTATGCCTCTCCCCACTGAACCGCTGCCGACCATTCTGGTCTCTTTCCGTCCTTTCCCTGTGTACCTAAAGCTGTGATCCGATCTGGAACGATTCGATCCGTTTGAATTCGTTCCGTTCCGTTCCGTTCCGTTCCGTTCCGTTCCGTTCCGTTCCGTTCCGTTCCGTTCCGTTCCGTTCCATTCTGTTTCATTTTGTACCCATTCCCTTTTCTTCGATACCTTTCCCTTTCTGCTCAACGGTACAGCTAACGAGAAACCTATGGGAATAATACAACTGAAAAGAAAGGCGACAGACAGTCCGGAATCAAAGATCTTTACTCTACTACCGGCTAAATCTTGCCCAGTCAACTGTATCGGATACATTTGGAACATTTTTCTGGATTTAATTGAAACAAAGAAAATTAACGTACACGCGATTAAATTACTTTATATCGAAATTCGGAAAGTCGATCGATTGGAATCGTATGTGCACACGTGCCACAAACTTTGCCTTCGTTTTCTAACGATCATGGACCTTTTAATGTAAAAATATCGAAACGAGAATAACACGTTTTGATACGTTACAGTAGAGTTCTACTCGTTTCTCGTCAGAATCGACCAAATTAACAGTACTTGATTGTGCGCATGGAAATTGATCATATTATATCTATGGATCGTTTATAAATTTGATGCGCATGATATCCAATTGTTCAGCTATACTCTAATAAACCAAATGTGAAATTCAACGGACATGAATTACAGTAGATTTTACTATGATTTAAATATATATATATATATATATATTTAAATCATGTGTGTGTGTGTGTGTATTTTTCACACTGCAAATATCCATATGGACAACGTCGTCGGTTAGTTTCTTGCCGCTGCATTTCATTTCTTTTCTTTCCTTTGCTTTGTTGCTTGGACAAAAGATCAAGTATGTACTAATTTTCAGGACAAGCAATTTCTCGGCGCAGTAAATGCCACTGTTTTGACTTGAACGCTTCTCGCATTCTATAAACATTTATACTTGATGATGTTTGAGAAACGAGCAATATCTACGTAGCTACTTGGACTTACCATGAAATGTACATTCCGTGATTATTAGGCCGCATCGACGCCAATTATGCATTGAAATTCCAAAGACGACCTCGGGAACGAAGAAACAAAAAAAAAAATTAAAAAACTAAAGAAATTCCATCGAAGGAAAATGAAAAGGAATATGAACGGTCGATCAATGAAATACGAATGAAGAAGAAGGGGATGGGGATGGGGATGGGGATGGGGAAGGGGAAGAGAGAGAATTGAAATACAATGGTGAGTCGGACGAGAAAGGATAAACGTATCGGAAACGTAAAAGACGTAGGAAGTAAGAGGAAAGGAAATTGGATGGAAAAAGAATGAATGTACAAGTAAATGGTTGGTGGTTCGTTTATCAACTACGATGCTCGAATGTTTCGAAAGGTGGACGAACGTAGAAGAGGGGCGTAATGAGAGTAAGAGTAAGCGAGGCCAGTTGATACTGGTTGATACGTTGATCGACCAGTCAATCGACTGGTTATCAGGTTCATTCGTTGGTTATGTTGTACCATCATGTTGTTGCAGAACTTTCGCGTTATTAGTTTAGAATGTACCAAATATTCTGGCTTGGATAACTTTTAATCAAAAGTTTCAATTTTTTCGCGTATTTTCAACAATTAACTGCTCGGACACTCTATTAAATTGAAATTTCTTCATTTTCTGATAAACAAACTACAGATTACTAAGAAATAAGACAAAACAGGGTCCAGCATACACAATTTTATAACCTATTTTACTACATATTAGTTTGAAAATGCTCGATGACACATGGACATTTTTAACAATAATATTACCTTTTTTCTGTTATATCCAATAACAGTCGAGAAAGTAAAAGGATAAAACACACAACTTGGACTTTCGATATTAATGTTATTAATATCGCCTTGAGATAAACACGCATGATCGGTTTTGCAACCTTCAGAGCAGCCTCGTATATGTACTTACGTGCAAGTAGAAGCATTTTGCGCTTTGCACTTGACAACACGCACGTTTGAAAATTTCATTTTATTCCTAATACGAACATTAGATGGGTTTAACGATAGAATCAAAGAATTTAGAAATAATTTGCGCGTATTTTCTACATAAGATGTACGCAATTCACGCAATATCTGCATTACTTTGTTAATATTGCAATCGTCGTCGTCGAGCTTCATTACTCTAAAATGTGTGTGTGTGTGTGTGTGTATGTATGTATGTATAGGAACATATTAACGTACACGCGTAGAAATAAGCTTTAAATTTCATTTATTGAATCATACTACCCTCTTTTGGACAGATAACATGGTTTAGGTGTAATTTTGTACGCTCGAAAAATTTCAAATATACAAAATAACGATGATTCGTTCTCCAACTAAATTTAGATACATAATAATGTCGTAAATACACTTGACTGATACTCATTTTCTCAATAATATGGTCTCCGAGGATTATTCTGAAAGAAATGGAAATCGAATTTTATTTGATAAAACAAAATTCAACTTCTCTGTTACTGACAATATAATAGGAATGAAAGTAAATGTTTCTTTCGTATTTGGCAAAACTGTCGTACCAAAGGATTAGGCCTAAATCTATATGCGAGCATCATTCTTTTTCTATAGGCATCGAATTCGTCGTCGTCTCTGGATACACCGTCTGGTCTTTCAGAACCTAAACCAGCGCTATCGAATCGGTTAGTCGCCCTATAAAATGCAATATTTTTTTTGTTTTTTTTTTTAATTCTGAAAACCCTATCCTATTGAACATCGTATAAGGAAAAAGTGGTGATCCTCGCGATATCATTAGCTTTTGCATGCGAAAGGAAAGAACGTGCGAAATAAAAATGATGTACTTTAAAAGGCGCTTACTTGTTAATAGGCTCGATACGACCGTTGCCTTCGCTACCCAAACCTTGTCCTTCGCTCCAACCAAGTTTCTGTAACATCTGAAACCCTAAGGAAAGGAAAATAAATAATTTCACTGATGTGATGTTACTTTCGCGAAAGTAAGTTTATGTTACGCACCAATGTTGTCTTCTTTGAGCTTATACTCCTTGTAATCGCTAAGATCAGGCTCTTTTCCTTGCTTGACCGCATTATACTGTTCCATGAATTTCTTAAGCTCGTCCGGTGGTAAAAAGTCACCGATATGATGTTTCCCTTCCGCCTGAGCAGTTAATTCTTCCGCCCACATTTGAGTGGCCTCCATCTCGGCGGACCTAAGTTTGTGTTCCCAAGTTCCGCCTTCGGTTTCTTCGTCGCTATCGTATTCGTATTTATGTTTCCCTTGTGCCTCTAAACGTTTCAATTCTTCTCGTTTCCTCAATAAATTTTGATAAAGGAGATTTATCTATGCATAAGGAACGATCGATAATAAAACTTTTAATCGTCTGAAAGAATTCTATCGACAAATCCTACCTTTCTATTCGATTAAGAAACGTTTACCTTGTAATGATCCTCTGCTTTTTTCCATTGTTCTTCGGTAAGATCTAAGGTACCGAAAGTTTGTCGGGCGTATTGTATCAAGGCAGGATCGTTCCTAGAAATTTTCGTCAACATGGGATTCTTTGTTTTCGCGTGTTGCACCTTCGACGATGGAATTATAACAGCTGGTTGGCCAATTTGTCCAGGAATTGCAATACCTGGTTGCGAAAGCCCACTATTTTGTTTACGTACGGGTAAAGTGTTCATTTCCGTTATAGACACTTTATTATTCGGATCACCCCAACGACTACGTCTTTTCCGTTTACGTTCTTCTTTGTTTTCCTCCTTTGACCTATCTGTACAATTATCATCGTCCAACTCTATTTCTCTTTTCCTTTCTGTTTACGCGCAATATACATACATGTAACAATTTTCTTGCATATCTGATCTCGCTTACCTTGCGAAGAAACGTGTCTGTTTGTATGATGACTTTGTTCGCTCTCATCGTTGTCGCTGAAAGCTTCCTCCGGGCAATACGGTTCCGCACCGCTGTCTTTAAATTCCCTAACGGACTTTTCAGCACGGAACTTTGCCACCAACCCCCTGTACTGCAGATACGCTGCACTTTGCTTTTGGTGCAGAAACCTTGATTAAAACAATACTTAAGACTCTGACGAGTAACATATTCTCCTAGATTAGATTCCTTTGTTAAAGAAAACTATTGATACAAAAATGAAACAAAAAGAAAAACAAAAAAAAAACAAATTACATAAAAAAGAAGAAAAGAAAAGGATAAACACGTGGTACGTGTAACGAAACGGCCGCGAAAGAGTTCTTAGAACGATAACGCGATATGAGTCGTAACCTTTATATTCCCAACAAAATGATGATATCAGATTTTTTAGTTGAAAAATAATCCTCCTATCGATAGAGTAGTAATTTTACGGTAACTGTTACAATGTTAAATCGATTGACTGTTCGCGCAACGCATAACCATTACAAATGTTATGTATTTATGCATTTAATAAAATGAAAATGTTATTTACGTAGTGACTGCGTGAGTTAGATTACATACTATCCCATTATCGCGTAAAATGGAAACATCGAAAGAAACGGCACACGAATTGAAGTAAGAGGGGAAGAGGTAACGCTACACGACGTGTTAAGGCACGAGACGGGGACCAGAGAGGACAGTAGTTACCATAATTTAGGATCTTGGGCATTCTTCTCTCGCGCTTCCTGTTCGATTTCATCCCCGCAGTCAGCGACGATGCGTGCCAGCTGCTCAGCCTCTACGGGACACACTTAGAAGCCTTTGTCAGACATGCGTAACAACGCTAAAACTTTGTTTTTTTTTTTTTTTTTTTTTGTGTGTGTGTGTGTGTGTTCTGTAGCGTAAATCCTACGTATGTCTACACGAATGGTCGGCAGATATGCTTTTGCGTATCTCACATTCTCCCACGTGTCTTGCATTCGGCGTATCGCTCGCGCTTATGCGCCCTCGATCAATCATTTCAACAGCGAGTGTTAAAAGTGTCTTCCCCTTAAAAACCGATACACGCCGGGCGATACGTCGAAACGAAGAAACGGTTGAAAATAATCGACATGTCATACCTAGCTGTTCGGTAGTTTGTTGACCGGTCAATGGCCTCACCGGTGGTGGTACTTGAATGTTAGGTGGTCCCACAGGTACCTGAGTGACTTGATTAGGAAGAGGATAACTGGTTGATAACAAAGGAGGGGGTGGACCGGCATTTTGAATAATGGGAGGTGGTGGCACATTCGGTGGCGGAATGTTCAAGTTCGGAGGCGGGATCGAATTTATACTCGATGGAACGTTGTGAACCGGGGGTGGTGCAGACATCAATACAGATGGTATCACATTCGGTGGAGGAACGTTCGGTACGTTCGGTACGTTCGAAGCATTCCCTGGTACGGTGACGACAATTGTTTGCGAGGCAGCAGAAATAGACATCATGTTTCGCGGCATTTGTGTCATCGTTGGTAACAAATTGGGAGGAGGAATATTCGGAGGCAGTAAATTTGTAGGTTGTAAAGTCGCGGCCGGAGGTCCACCGCATTGTCGCCCCGACGAAATTACACATTGTTGCGCATTGCCCGACGTCGTTGTTGACGATGCGGATGCTGAAGATGGCAACGACGACAATGAAAATGACGCCGATGACGATGGCGGTTGTAACGCAGACGTTGTTGAACACGAGCTCGAACAGGAGGTTGAAGAGGACGAGGATGTGGCGGATGAAGATGAGCACGAGGATAAGGACAAGGACAAGGACAAGGACAAGGAGGATGACGATGACGATGACGATGACGATGACGATGACGATGACGATGACGATGACGATGACGACAACGACGAAGATGTGCAAGGTGCTGGAGGAGGTGGAGGCGGTGGTGGTAAATTTTGTAGATTCGGCGGCATTGTCCGAGAAATATGCATATTCGGTGGCGGTACGTTGGTATTTGGAGGTATAGATTGTATGGAAGGCTGAGGAGGTGGAGGTGGAGGAGGAGGAGGAGGCGGTGGATGTATTGTACGCGGTGGTGATATTTGCATTCTTGGATCGCCAGACCGATCGTCTATTCCAGGATAAGGGTTAGTCAAATTTTTTGGAGGAGGCATTCTAGATAAATGTGGAGGAGGAACATTGGTTATGATGTTTCTTATATTAGGTGGAGGTACGCTCGTCAGATGCATTATAGGTTGAGACATGAGGGAAGGAACAAGAGGTGAATTTCCATTTCTAGGGAAATACTGTTGCTGGCTATGTTGCGTCGCACGTTGTCCATTGGGAGATAATTGATTAAAGGAACGTCGAGCTTCCGGACTTTGAGACGCTGGCCGTCTGGTAGGAGATGGGCTCGAAGGCGAGCTATGCCTTCTATTCGTGCTTTTTTCCCATCGAGAATCCCCTCTTCTACGATCTCTTTTGTTCTCCCAATCTCTGCTTTTATCGTTGTTTCTCTTTCGTTCTTTATCGTGCGATCCCTCTTTATATTTTTCTTCCCTCTTTTCTTCTAGTTTCAAAGAAAACGTACACTCTGTTTTAACCGTTCCTTTATTGCTCGCAATCTTTTTAAACTGATCCAAAAAACTGCCGTCGTTTGCAAATAGATTGACCGTTTGCGACACTGTAGGCTTCTCTTCTTCTTTCCTATGATAGAAAGTGTTTCTTCTGTGAATAATTAATGAATATTTAAAGACAATGAGAAATTTATCGATGAATATTTCCAAAGAAAATAGAAATTCTCAATACGGACCAAAATATAATTTCACATATGAACTTGTATTACATTTATTGCAAACCTAATGTTAACATTTCGACGTTTTATTTGCCATTCCGTTTAGGCCTAAGTAGGAATATATTTATCACATTTGGCACGCAATCGATCGGCCGTCGGCAATTATTTCATTCCAAAGAAAAAGACCGTTTCTTCGAAACTATATGATTTACCGAGACATTTTCATGCAAATAATATGTTTGCATTGTAAAAAATTCCAATTACTTACTTGGTAGAATTAGCTTTATTCATTGTCGAATTCGGGACTAACGCATTTGACTTTTTCATATTTTCTACAGCTTCTTTTGCTTTTTGCTCTTGCATCTTTGCTTGAATTTCAAGCTTCTTTTGCTGAATAATTTGTTCTTGCTTCGACATTTGAGCAAAACGTTCATTTCGCGATGTTTTTGAAACAAATGGATCAGAACCTTTTACACCACGGTACGCCATATTTGTTGTGCCGCAGACGACTCTCGAGCAAGTTTGGTAAGAGTAAGTAGTATGTACTTTGAATTGCTTTCAATGGAAATGAAATAATTCGAGGTCGAGAAACGACTAACTTGTAACCTGTAAGTGACGTAGCAGTTACTAGCAGCAGTAGCAGTAGCAGTAGCAGCCAGCATCGCAGATCGCAGCGGCTCTCGCCAAGATAGTGGCGTAAGCGTAACCAACCGACAAAACTAACCAGCAATCGTTTATTGAAAACCCGACTTCAAATTTCCGTTATTTTTTTTACCTGCTAACTGTAACTGTCATCGATGTAGTACTATTTTAAAGATTATTAATCACCACTTACGAACATGTTAAAACCTTCGGTAATTATCAAATCTTGAATACAGTATTAAGTGTGTAGAATTCTTTTATACGTTATTTCAGCATTTAAATGTCAGAGTTGGTAATACACCCGAAAATGATTTTACCATGCAAACGAAAACTTTGATCGAGTTACTTTATTATTTAATCAAAAATGAAGAGAAACTGTTTTTGAAAAGGGAACTATCTTGGAACAGAAAGTTACATGATTTTCTGATGAATATCGTAAAAGCTACGATCGATGTGAAACGTGCGTTACTTATCTAATGAAATAACATTAGAAATTGATTAGGTCTTATACAACGGATCAACTAATTTTTCCATCATAAAATGATCACTGAAATGTTTCTCAACAGAATGGACGTTTCTTCTTTGCAAGCAGAGATTACATTTTATCCGTTTACAGCAAAAGGCTGCGATCGATTGGAAGGAAGCAAAGTTTCTAAAATCAAATATTAAAGAAAATACGGAGTATGCGATCGCAGCACAAATGTATATAATTCTTCTTCTTCTTTGCTGGCTAACGAGTTTAAAACAAAACAGAATCGGGTTATATTGTCGCACGTTGCTTATCTTTTAACAATTTAATAGAGAATGTAAGTTACATAATTCTACCGATTATGAAAAGAGAAACATTTTAGGAGGGAATTTTCATCAAAGTTGTTAGCTACGAATCAGGAATGGAAAATGCGGAAGAAACATATAGAAAAGGAAATAGAATCGTTTAAGTTTCATTCAAAGTCTTTGGGTAGAGTACGCCGTTCGTGGAAAAATGATCTGTACGATGCATAGTACGTAAAGATTTGTGTTTTCTTTGCTTGTAGATAATTTTAATTGAATTTTGTGCTAGGAAATCCGTACTGTAATTATATCTTTAGATATTGCAAACGCTAATGCTAACGTCATTGTTAATCGCGTAGCTTTAAAACAAAGAAACGATACTTGGATCTACTCGCAAAGTATGACAATAATATCGGACAGCTTAATATTTGCAAAAAAGATCTATTAGTCGACAAAGATTCTATAGAGAGCAAATATGTTGTTATTCAGGTTTGTCTTATCATTATTATTATTATTGTCTTCCATTTACTATTGCTTCCCTTTTTGTTACTATTCTCGTAGTAGAAATACTAAAATAGACTTTTTAAACTACACGAAATATATTTCGTTTTTATATATTGTCTTTCAGAATGAACTTAACGGTCAACGTAGTTTGTATAATCGGTTGAAAGAAGAACACGATCTAAACGTAACAAAGGTATTTTTAGCAAAATTAGAAAGTTTTCATCGAAATCGTGCAGCAAAAATAATTCAGCAGAATTGGAGACTATACTGTTTACGTGTATCCGGGAAAAAAATAAAAGGCAAAAAGTAACGTATCTACGTAGATCCTTGTATCTGTTTCAGCATCAAAGTTTTCAATTAGTTTTTGGAGATTTTAAAAATTTTCTATAGGAAAACATGCATGATATGCATGCGTAAAATAACATTCAAGTCGAAGAATAACGAGTCAAAGAGTTTGTCTGTTTGGAAGATAGTATGTGTATGTAATTACATACTTTGTATCATCATATTTATCCTATTTGGTATAAATTATACGTGTAACTCTATCGTTGTACAGGAACAGGTTCATAAGTACCTGGTGATTCGTCGTGTTTAAAGTTACTATAATATTATATGAAAAAAATGTGTGCCATTTTTATTCATCGATAGAAACAGTTTACTTGAAACGAATAGAACAAGAGATAAAAATAGAATTTATTTACGTTTAAAAAGAATCGAGTCAGTTATGGAAAAGGCACTACAGTGGCGTATCGTGACCAAAAGGTTAAAGCATCGTATGAAAAGAATTTTTGGAAATTAAGCTGCATAACCATTCTGCATATCGTTTCTTTATTTTTCCTTCGCGGTTTGATTTTGACGTTATTACGAAGATGACTACGATGACGATTAACTATAAATTTTGTTTACAGACGACACGTTTATAAAATTGGTAGATAAAATTGATGATTATTTTTGTATGGATTCGAGAAAGCAGCAGCAACAGTAACATATTTGGATTGTTGCAGAACGTTTTTTGAAGGGAAATGATTACGTATTCAACTATATTGATCTTTTGCTATGTTTAGAAATATCTCTGTTTCCCACCCCCTCCTGTTTCTTGGCAACGCTCTACACCATAACCCTCCGTGTTTCCCTGCCGATCGGCGAGATTGCCGTTACGATTAAAGAAAAGTTTCTATTTCAATTTGTCAAGTGAAGTTTGATCGTTTCTATTTCGCTTCTCTGTTTTAAGCGCAACCGTAAAGCGAGAATGGTAGTTTTAAAGACCGTGGAAACGTATGGATGGAGAAACTGGACGAAAGACAGTAAGAGAAATTGAAATAAGGAAAGAGTTGTAGGGGAAAGAGGATGGAAAGCGAGAGTTAAAAACATAATAAAAGAGATCGCGTCGATGAGGAGATAGAATAGCAGAATGAAAAGAGGGGACGGTGAACCGAACCGCGCGTGCGAGCGAAGAGCAGGTAGGTAAATAATGGGGCGCGAAGGTTGACGTAACGCATGCTCCGAAACGTTTTCCCGGGGTGATGATCAGTGTGGGAAACTAAGCCAGCAGGCGAGGCTGACAAACCGTTCGATCGTTACGAGGTGAATCAGTGACCGGATGTACCGCGAATCACATATACATATATTATTCCTATTTACGTATGATTATTTTTCTGGAAAACCATCGAAACCATCTCTCTAACATCGATCTTTAGTTTACGTAGATATTAATATTTCAGTTGATCGAAAGAAGTGAGATAAGTGGTAATTAAGCACGGATAAAAATGTTAGTAAAACAGCTCGCGTAGATTAATCGAAGTTTGTTACGAGAAACGAGAAGCGATACTTTTCTTGTCTATAAGAGCCATTAAATTTCATTTAAAACGCTCAAACGTTTAGTCGTAATAAATGTGGCAGAGAAGAATTGTAGGCGAAGTAAACGCAACGTTCGATAACAAGTACATACTAACAGCTGTCTGGATGTGTTGACTCGAGATAGTTTTGATCCAGGCTCGCTCGTAAAACGAATGCGCACCACCTGTAGCTCGATATCTACGCTTAAAAGGTCAACCGCCCCTCTGTCGTTGATTTTCTCTACGAATGTAAGTGAAAGGGTTCTGTTTCTCTGTCTGCATCTTTATCGAATACGTACAATTAATTGATGCAAAATTTACTAGTTTTTTTTACTGCGTCTTCTACGTTTGCGATTGTTAGGCGTGCTCTTACAATAATGTTGCATTCTTTAGCGAACAACGGGATTTTCACCGATCCCTTTGAAATTCGAAATAAAGATCACAGCGGGCTTGTAATTTACGTGCGTGAGAAATTAAACGATCGAGATTCAAGGAGGATATGTTTGACTGTTTCGAACGTTTCGAGAAAATAAATGAATGTTGTCATTTTGACGATAGCGTAAATTGGAATAATAAGCGTAACTATTGTACAGGCGACGCGACAGTTGGAGAAGTTTGAATAAACGATCAGATGAAATACGACGCGTGCATACTACGTACATAGGTCATACATATATGTACATTTTCATGTACTCGGACATGATGTTATTTCATTATTTATTTACGATTATGAGTTTAAAGCAATCGCATGATAATTACACGGTAATTACCGTGCGATTTCTCTGAAATTATAATCCCAAATAAGTAAACAAAGTTAGATTTTTTCGAATACTATTTCTTATTAGTAAAGTCCATGTAGAAAAAATACTAATGGTGTTTCGTAACGTAGCAATCGTTGTCAACGGTGATGTTTTAATAGAATTTGATCGTTATCAGAGGTGACTATGCGAGATCAGCCTTTGTAATTTGAAGCGTTTTAAGTATCTCTTGCAACAGAGAACAGGTGAAACGAAGAAAAAGAAGAAGAAGAAGAAGAAAAAGGACGAGGAAGGAGAGAGAGAGAGAGAGAGAGAGAGAGAGAGAGAAAGAAGAGGACAAAGATAAAAGAGATGAAACGAAATTAAACTATAGAGAATAGGGGGAAGGAAGAGAATAAAAAATTAAGGGAATATAAGAAGGAGGTCGTTGCGGTTCCGTGTGGTGTGGTGGAGCCGAGCAACGTTTTAACGACAACGTTCGTTCTCGCTCGGTTGTGGCTTTCTTTTTAACGAAACTGTTTTAAGAAGGGATGGTTACGCTTTGTTTTGTCGAGATGTAAACGCATTTTATTTCTATGCGACGAAGGTTCGTGCGATCGTGAGAATTATAGAATTCGTAGCGTTATCGTACTAACGATGACCGAGAGAACAAACAGTATCATCGTCGCATCGTGTAAGTGGAGCATGGAGGAACGGGAACAAATTTTAGCTACTGGAACATTAGACGAAAGGAAGGAGGCTTTTAAAGACGACGAAGAACTGATGCGAGAAACCAGCAAATTTGTGATCGAAGTTATAGAAACAGCGACCACCGAGGCCTCGAGATGTAAAATGTATTCGGAGGTTTGTTCGCATTTCAAATATTCCTGCCAATTACAATTATTCTTAGCAATTGTAATTATTGTTGGATCGTTTCGTTTCACTTTTTCAGAGAGGCGATGCCAGCGAAGGTAAGAATAACATTGAAAACAGTTGTACGAGATTGCGCGTGAAATGAGATATGTAAATAGAGAAACTTGTCGTCATTGATGGAACCAACGAAACGTATGTTTGCATAGGAACTAGATTGAAAGGTGAGGATAGCATCGCTGGTTGGAATCATCGAGCACGTGGGTTCTGCAATCGAATACTGAACGCGCTTTGTCCATGTTTCACCAACAATGGTAAATCGTAGAGCGTTTACCAAGTACATATTGTAATTGCGCGCGATCTTTCCGCGTTCCGCGTTCTTTCCTTCGGATACCGTAGCTTTGCATTGCTCTCGTCGATATAATCATTCCCACCCAACATACCCAGTAAACAGACTATGAAACCTTGCGTATACAGCCAGTAATGCCTGAATAGATGCCAGAAATCGGGACCGAACTTTTCCTCATACAAGCGGGTATAATTATTTTCCATATATTCTGCGTAAACGTTTGCATACAGTCGGGCATTATTGTATCACGTACACAATATTTTGATGTTCGAGGACGGATCGAATATTGTTTATCGTCTATCGGATGTTTGACGGATCTTTCGTTTCAGTCGGTTCGAACGCGAACAATGGGATTTAATATTCGACTCGATGAACAACTATCACGTCCTCGTTCATTCTCGTTGCTAAAACGATTTACGCATGCATCGTTTGAATTATTACTCGTTATCTTAGTATTCTGTAGCAGCTGTTAGAAGCTGGATCAACTCACCTAGCATGCATAAACGAGGTATTTCTCATTAAAGACTCACAAGTATGTACCAAGTACATTATTACGGATGCCAGCAATGGCAGAGTATCGAAACACGCAGTAACATTCTGCACGTTGAAACCTGTAGATAGTAATGGTTTGGAAAAATGTATACTATCAATGTATCTATTCTTTTTCGTAGAATTATTCGCCTGGACACCATACCGGTATCGCTTCACGAGACCCTAATCGGTCGCTGCCTTCCAGAATTACCGTACATTGCAGAACAACCATTGATTCGATTGATAAACGCGTCGTTGGCACGATTTAATTTACTTCTAATTTACTGCTTCGTCGTAACATCGTGGTCTTACGATTCTTACGATTTCTCGTAAATATTTTCATTCGATGCTACAGTCCGTTCGTTTAGCTTCTTGTCGTTCGCTTCCATTCTCTACTTTTGCGAATCTTTACTAGATTTTAGTTTAATAGAACGAAAGTTATCTGCCGTTTCCTCGCGCCACTCGTTGTTTATGCTATACCAGTAAAATGTATCTCCCAACACCAATTATATCGCCATGTTCGAATTACTTTTTCTAGTAGGTGATCGGGAAATGAACATTTCTTTCGGATCTTTCCTCCGCTACTATGTATTTATACATATACATATACATATTTGAAACAGCGGACCGTAGCAAAACAGTCGATGGATTGGATCTAATGACAGTTTAGTTTCATTTTTATATCACATATGTATATCAAAAGAATCAATTTTATTGTCCATTCGGTGGAACAAAACACTACAAACTTATTTATCTAATAATTTCGTATTTGCGTGATTGCGTGCGTGCGTGCGTGCGTGCGTGCGTGCGTGCGTGCGTGCGTGCGTGCGTGCGTGCGTGCGTGCGTGCGTGCGTGTGTGTGTGTGTGTGTGTGTATGCCAGAATGAGGAAGATAGAAACAATTATGGCAAAAATAATGGGAATTTATATTTAAATTTATCGTACAACAATCACTTGATGTGGGATCAACAGGTAGAGAAATCGGTCGATTGACAATCAAACGAATATGTTACGCATGCGTGCGAGTTTACATTTACATATACATATGTACTCTATTTTTTGTCCGCAGTTTTAAGCACCGATAAACTAAATCGCATAGTCGATGTTGGTTTCTGAAAAACTGTCCTATTCTGAACCTGCTACAAGGAATAATTTATCGATCAAACGAATCGTTGCAACGCGAAATAATATATCCATGTATATTTCTTTGTGTATACTCGTGTATACGTCTGTTTGTTGTATGAACAAGCATACTACTAATTTTATGTATCCGTTAATAAATGTAGAAATGCAAATACGAATGTTCGCAAAGTATGTATATCTAGATTTTTGTTGCGTTTCTAGTTTTCGTTTATAAGGAAAAACGTGGAACGAGATAAGTGTGTGAAACTGTAAACACAAAAGGAATCGCGATACAGAGCGTTCAAAAGCGACGGGTCAAAGGAAGATATTAAAATTTTCTATGTAAATTAAAATCGAAAAGTCCTTTTCCGATCATTTAGCGATTTAGTCGCTGTTAGCACCGGTCGGTTGATCGTAAGTACATGACTTACTACGGTTACGGTTACTATGTAGGAAAGAAATCCTCGGATCAGAAAATGGTAAAGGACTTTTCGATTCACGTGTCTCGTCTTAACCCATCGATTCGAATCATTCCGTTTATCGTGTTGCATGCATTGTTGTTTATTTTATGTTTCGACATTGAAAAGAGGATCCTATTCGAAACGTAGTTAATTAAATAATTATCAACATTTTTCCAACAAAAATATAAATGCAAATTTTTACAGAGACTTACAGAGATTTTTATCGTGGAAGCGGATGAGCTAAATTTCGATCAAGTCTTTGAATCGAATAAACGAAACTAGACCTCTGTATATACATACATACATACATACATACATACATACATACATATATGCATATGTATGGTTTGGTTACCATGGAAAGTTACTTTATTTTCTGGTTTAGCAAACGTGAACATCTCGTTGCGTTTCGACATATGTATGTAGTCGGTAGAAGCTACCTGATCACACGTTAGATTGAAATTTCACCAAAGACGGTTCGTTACTCGGCAGAAAATATCAAAGGCGGACAAACCAGAGACAAGAATCGCGTTCGTTCGTATACAAACAATTCGTTTTCTCTGCTTTGTATCTACGTAGTCTGTAATGGTTATCGTTGTGCAAAATACATACACGTATGTATGTATATAAAACTGAACCGAAAATGGTTAGCCATTAATGTTTAACGCGGCTTCGGTTACACAGGTTACGCGCAAATTACAGCGATGAAATTTTTAAGAAAAATATCACGACTCGATTATCGATACTTGCAATATTTTCAATCGTTTGAAACGTACGATTCATAGTGAAAGTGCGTTGTGTACTAACGAGAAAACGTTGAACGTTTAATTGAATTTAAAACTAATGATACACTATGGAACGGAAGAAGGAACAGCCGGCAGTTTTAAAAAGGAATAAATATCTATCGCTTTGTCAGGAAAGGGAAAATTTTCGTGCGCAACTTGTAAAAATCATAAAAAAGGAACCGTTGTGCGAAACGGGAAAAACGAAAGATTTTATCACCGACAAAGACAAAGATATCTTGCGGTATTATTATTATTTAACACACGGTATCGATGATGTTTACGTGGGGTCAATGGACCTCGATCTTTTGGGAAATATCTTACGGATGGTTCCGATCAAGTGGCGAAACAAGTTTAAGGAAACTGTGACTCGTTTGGTGAACGAAGCGAAACAAGAGTATGCGTTGAACGTGAAAAAATCAATCGTAGAGTTCGTTATCGGTGATTTGTCGCAATGTTCGTTCGATCAGGTAATACGTGTATCGTTTAAACAGTTTATCGTACAATCTATGACAATTTGTTGATTTTTCATGATCGCGGTGTTGCTCGGACGCATGAATGTACGTAGGTACTTAATATGTAATATAAATAAATTACTGTGCTGAAATGCTTACCAATTTCAGGTCAGTGTGTCGAAGAGAAGCGAGAAAGTTAAAACTATCCGACTTTCGGCCGAACATACGGCCAGTTATCGATGGAATAAAGTGAAACTGGAGAGAACGATTATCCTTTATCGTCCTGCTATCCAACGAATCGTAGATTATTGGTATCGAGAATTCAGGTTGGTTCAAGAAATACGCTAATATTACCAACGTAGTGTTGAAAATGTAAAAAAATGTGTAGCTTCTGCAACGAGACTAACAAAGTATTAAAAACATTGTATACGTATGTGCATGGGTGATGGAACAGCGACCGAAAGCTGATAAACGGAAAGCAATTAATGGCACACGGTACGTCGTACGATCTCGACAGTTTTGGGAAAGCCATCTTAAAGATGTGTTATCGAACAAGGGAGAATCTGGCGAAACACTGGCTGCCAAAACTTGGAAATATCTTACTTGCGGTACGAATGGGATCATTATTATTTTTGTATTATTATTAATCAGGGCTGGCCTAGGAATTTTTACACCTAGAGGAATAACGCGGTGCACACACTATATGTATACTCCGAGCAAACTTATTCCTGTTTGTTGTAATTTATTACGTACACGTGTTTAGGCTTATGATAAAAACGAGTTGCCTTCGATTACCGATGCTCCGACATTCAAAAGATTTCTCAATTGTATCGGTTTTATTATGGAAGAGCAATTGCGAACAATTTGTTTGCAGTCGATGGAGGAATACATCGACTATCTGTCCAACACGAACGTAAGTGATGATTCAATTTTTCTTAAATTTTTCATTAACATTTTCATCAATTTATCGCGATAAAGTATCATTGAATTTCGAAGCAAGAGAGAAAAAAGGAAATGATTCGGAGAGTCGATGCTAGTCGAGACTTTGGAACGCGAACCGTATCCTCGAAGGAAACCGTCGCGACGTTCCAACTGGCTTACTCGGGGGTGGTTACATTTGCCCGAAAGGATACGGTTTACAGCGAAAAGGCTCGATCGGTGTCGATCGGAAATAAGTTTGCGATCTAAGGACTCGCGTGTACCGTTCGTAGTATACACGTTGCGGCTTCGATATAAAATTGGCGATAAGGAATTCTGTTATGGTGTTCGAGCCGACGGTGAAAAGTTTTGTGCAAGTGCTGTCGATGCTACTGAATTCACCGCGGGAGGCAGTTGGTACATTGCCGCGGATCGAAACGCTATTGGAATGGAGGAACGCCAAGTCGATCGATTTCGGTCCAACGTTGCTCACGGTACTTACTTGAATTCATTTTCCAAACTATTCTGTCCTTCGCAATTATCCCAGAATTCATACTAGTCAATTCTATTCATTACCACAGCCAAATGTTTCGGTACAGTATACGGAGCAACGAGGAAAGAAAATCGCGCAACTAATAGACAGAAAAAAAATTGAACTCGAAATACAAGTTGGAGAATTTGAAAAATACGCGAGTTTTATGGACGATACGGAAACCAAGAAGGTCGAGGAGTTTCTGAAATCCGAGACGGATGTAAATTTCGAAAGTTTTCGAGTTTTAATCCAACACTATGATCAGCTGTCTCGACGTATACCGATTGAATTTAATCAAACTTATTTCGGTGAATTTTTTATCGTCCATAGAGGAGGGTTCATCGAACATATTGCCTTGGTGGCTCGCCGGCTCAAGGAAGAATTAGTAGCTAGAATGATCAGCGATTGTCAACGAAAATCGCGAGCGTAAGTAAATCGTTTTATCCGTCAGCCTTTTGGCTGAAATTCTATTACTTTTTTCACTCGTCAACGAGGGTCGTATGTAGTAAATCCTCGTGACGAATAAGTTCGACACCCGGAATAATACAAAGTATGTATGTACTGGTGGTATCCCTACGTCCTGTTAAGTCGGTCGGGATTAATTAGGTTTAATCCTTCGGGGACATACATACATATGTAAGTACGTGTATGTATGTATACCGCGACACGTGCAATCGATCGATTTTGCACCCGGGCCGAATCGGTTGGACACGGCATCGTTTCTAAGGGGCCCGCGACAATAAGTAATATTGTTTTAAAATGGTGCGCGGAATTTAGTAAATGTGCGTAATTTAGTATAGGGGATGCTAATCAAAATATCGTGGACCGGGCTCTAAGCGTTCCAATGAATACGATGGAACTGATGGAACTTGGAGAATTTATACGCACCACGGAAACCGAGACTGCTTTTCAGTTGGAAGATCGTTTAAGAGAAATAATTAAATATATCATTTTTCTATCGGATTATTCCGTCTTGACGCCTGTCGAATTGAAAACCAATAACTTTGCTTTTCAATGGTAAGTAACGTGCGTGCGAGTATCTTAACCCGACTCCAACGTTCGAATGCTCATTCTTACGGATCATAACACGCAAGGTATCACAAGCTTTCGGAAGTTTTCCAACAACACAAAGAAATTATTGCAAGTAAAAGCGGAGAATATCAGAAAAGCCTAAAAAAAAGGATCCAACAATTTGAACGAGAGCTCGAAACGTATGCAAAACGTTGCGGCGAATTGCAGTATTGGGGTAACCTCGACGAGATATATCGATATAAAAAGAAAGCCGATCGTCTGGAAGAGAAACTGATCGCCGCAATGGACACCATCGATAGATTTAACGAGGAAGAAGAGCTATTCGGTTGGCAAGTGTCGCAGTATCCGTTACGAAAGGTGGTAAGTATGTTACCTAGGTACCACCACCACCACCTACATACAATTACGTTTCTTTCGAAACACGTATGCACGAACGAGTCCGATTAATTGGATTGTTATTAGACAGCGGACAAGTTGTCATCGTACAAAAGATTATACGACGGTGCGTGCGATTTTCTCACTAATCACGATACGTGGATGAGTTCCATGGTGGGTTCCCATGATCCAGAAGATATCGACACGATCACAGGAACCGCTTATCGTACCATCTATAGACTGGAAAGGTCTATAGAAGAACCAGTCGCGAGAAAACTTGCCGAAACGGTCCGAACAAAGATCGAAGAGTTTCGAGAACACATGCCTGTGATTACGACTCTTGGAAATCCGTCCATGAAGAACCGTCATTGGGAACAAGTTTCCGAGATCGTTGGTTTTCCCATCAAGATAGACGAGTCGATGACGCTCGCCAAGGTACTTGCACGCGTTAGGTATCCACATACATGTATGTGTATATCCGTTTCTCTAATTCTCCTCCATTCACGAGGAGACTACTCTGTTGTAAATCCTCGCAGATCCTCGATTACGGTTTGCTCGATTACGTTTCAAAATTCGAAGGGATATCCGACGCGGCGTCCAAGGAGGGCAGCTTGGAGAAGGCCCTCCTTCAAATGCACCTCGATTGGGCGGACATTGCGTTCGTCGTGAATCCTTATCGCGACACCGGTACATACGTGATTGCCAGCGTCGACGACATACAATTACTTTTGGACGATCATTTGACAAAAGCCCAGACTATGAAAAATTCTCTCTACATTCGACCATTCGAGAAGGAAACGTTGCAAGTATCGCTTCACGATCGTCGTTGGTTTTTATTGGTTCTTCGTTACGTTCATCTACGAATGATTCTCCGTTACTATGCTTAGAGAATGGGAGTCCAAGTTGCTGTTGCTGTTGGATATCATGGACTATTGGCTACAGGTACAAGCAACGTGGATGTACCTAGAACCGATATTTTCTTCGGCTGATATACAGCAGCAAATGCCGGAAGAAGGGCGACGATTCAGCGCCGTCGACAAAGTAAGTACATATGTATGTATGTACAATGTACGCGTCCGTTTCCATTCTCCGGTTTTTTCTCTACATTGCATATGGTTTTCGATATACATACATACGTAGATCTGGAGAGAAATTATGCAGCTTGTCTCGGCGGATCCCCGGGTTATGAGCGTGGTTGAAATTGACAAAATGCTCGATCGTTTCAAAAAATGTACAAATTTGCTCGATTTAATACAAAAAGGACTTGCTGCTTACTTGGAGAAGAAGAGACTCTTTTTCCCGCGATTTTTCTTCCTCTCAAACGACGAACTTTTGGAAATATTGTCGGAAACGAAGGATCCTACCAGGTAAACGATCCCAGAAATCACAGAATTTAGCTTCTTTTACCAGTGATTCTATACATATGTATTATGTACTTATTACTTTCAGCAGCGAATGTTGTTTTATATGCTCGTTTAATTCTATAGATTCGCCGGCGCCGGTATGCATTATTTTTCTTAATATAATTCGATCAATGGTGTGTTTATTAGAAGTATAAAAATGCAACTATATAGCATATATTTTATTAATTTATTAGCTAGTTTCTAATCAACAATTGCTCATCAGGGTACAGCCGCATTTGAAAAAATGCTTCGAAGGTATCGCGCGATTGAGTTTCACAGACGATATGGAGATAACGTCGATGAAATCGTCCGAGGACGAAGAGATTACGCTTGAGGATATCGTTAATACGGTGGCTGCTCGGGGACAGGTAGAAAAGTGGTTGCTCGAACTTGAATCTTCTATGAAAAAGAGCGTTAGAGCGCAGGTAAACAATTACTTTTTCTTGCCCTTGCATTCGTATTTAGACAACGATTTGTTAAATACGAATTGATTTTTGGCCAAGTAAAAGTGTCGATTTGTACTTATCCACTTGTGCGCTCGAAACAGGTAATTAAAGCCAAGGATGCGTATTTGGAGCAAATTAGATCGAAATGGGCCCTGATCTGGCCTGGTCAAACGATTCTATGCGTCAGTAAACTTTATTGGACGGCCGACGTAACGGATGCATTGTCGAAATCTTTGACCAATTTGGAAAGCTATATCGGCATCTGTACAAACGAACTGCACGAAATAGTAAAATTAGTTCGTGGAACGTTATCGACGCAAAATCGTACAACTTTAGGTTCGAAGAAACGCTACCGTACATTTCTTTTATTTTCTCGGAATATAGAAAAAGTTATTTTTAATAATCATTTCAGAGGCACTAGTTACGATGAACGTTCATAGTCGTGACGTTGTAACAGAGTTGTTTGAACAAAGAATTAACGATGTCACGGATTTTACATGGTTGGCTCAGCTAAGATACTATTGGATGGAAAACGAGAAGAATAATAAAGAGGTACGAGAGCATAGCATGCATACATACATAAGTACTAGAATGTGCGGGTACTCGAAATTGTGGATTTGCTCGGACGTTCGTGCAACACGTAACGTAGTCCGGGCAGTCCGGGGATTAGTTTGATCAACAATGTCCGTATTAGGCCGTATTCTTTTCTAGTAATTAGCCAAGCGATAGCCGTACACGGCGCTCTTTGCTTAGATTTTGTTCTCGTTTGTTAAATAGCAGAAGGATGACATGTGGACGACAATAATAAATACTTGGTTCAAGTATGCGTACGAGTATCTGGGCAATACATCGAGACTAGTGATAACGCCGTTGACCGACAGATGTTATCGGACTTTGTTCAGCGCGTTGAGTCTGCATCTTGGCGGCGCTCCCGAGGGCCCCGCCGGCACCGGCAAGACCGAGACGACCAAGGATTTGGCTAAAGCTGTCGCTAAACAGTGTATCGTTTTTAATTGCTCCGATGGTCTCGATTACATTGCCCTGGGAAAATTTTTCATGGTAAGAGAATCAGGTAGTTACGACACAAACACACGCTACATACTGTACACTGTACATTAGTTTCTCTAAAAAAAGCCGTAACATTTGAAGATTTATCATCGGTAAATAAACATTTTGCTCGTATGGTTGTACTCTCAGGGATTGGCAAGTACGGGTGCATGGTCTTGCTTCGATGAATTCAATCGTATCGATTTGGAAGTATTGTCGGTGGTAGCGCAACAAATTTTAACGATCCAACGAGCCATCAATGCTGCGAAGGAAACGCTTATATTCGAAGGTATCGAGATCAAATTAGACCCGACATGCGCCGTGTTCATTACGATGAATCCCGGATACGCTGGCAGAACCGAACTTCCGGATAACTTGAAGGCGCTTTTTCGACCGGTTGCTATGATGGTTGGTCGACGATCGTCGTTAAAACCTTTCGCATCGTATTTGGGAATGATAATGTGAACGTGGTTACTTTGTATTATGTCAGGTTCCGGATTATGCTTTGATCGCCGAGAATACATTGTATTCTTACGGCTTTTACGATGCCCGGTCGCTTTCGGTGAAAATCGTGACAACATACAGGCTATGTTCCGAACAACTCTCCAGTCAAAATCATTACGATTACGGAATGAGAGCGGTGAAATCTGTTCTGGTGGCGGCTGGAAATTTAAAGATCAAGTATCCGGAACAGAACGAGGATATTTTGGTATTGCGCAGCATCAAAGATGTAAATTTACCAAAATTTCTCAGCGAAGATATACCTCTGTTCAACGTACGTACCATAATTTTGCTAATCGCCGATCGAAGGAATAACAAGTTTCAATCTCACGATACATATAAAGAGTCAGCCATTGTTTATTTCGATACAGGGTATTATGTCGGATCTCTTTCCGGGAGTGAAACTTCCGGAACCAGATTATACCGATTTGAACGCATGCGCTTACGATGTCTGTTCAACGTCAAACCTGCAGTGTACCATTCTCTTTCTCGAGAAAATACAACAGATGTACGAAATGATGATTGTCAGACACGGATTTATGATCGTCGGGCTACCGTTCGCTGGAAAGACCGCTGCCCGTAACGTTCTAGCCAATGTTCTGAACCTTTGCGAACAGAGGGTAAATTACGAGACACGTACCATACGTACATACGTATGTATGTATGTATGTATGTGTATGGGTAGAATTGCATGGATTTTTCTGTAACCTGTTGCAGAACCTGATGAACGAGCGTAAAGTAGAAAAATTCGTAATCAGTCCGAAAGCCGTGACAATGGGCCAGCTATACGGAGAATTCGATGAAATTTCGCACGAATGGTCCGATGGAGTTTTAGCCATCAGTTACCGCGCGTTCGCCACTTCGACCAGCCTCGATCGCAAATGGTTGATCTTCGATGGTCCCATTGACGCGATATGGATAGAAAGCATGAACACGGTACTCGACGATAACAAGAAACTCTGTTTGATGAGCGGAGAAATTATCCAATTGGCGCCATTTACCAATTTGATATTCGAAACGATGGATTTGGAAGCAGCCTCGCCTGCCACCGTATCCCGTTGCGGTACGATTTCCACTCGAAATTAATCCTTGTCACAGGTGAAATTCCCCTAGTGGCGGGAATCTCTGCTGGAAGAAAACCTTTATTCGGCATATTTGAGAAACATCGTAAGTCTATAGGACTGTTTAAAAATATTTTCAATGGTTTATCGGTGTAGGAATGATATATACATGGAGCCCGGAGCACTCGGCTGGGATCCTTTGTTGAAATCTTGGATAGCCAACACACCGACCGCGATAGACGAATGGCTGAAAAACTATCTCTATCGATCGCTTTTTCGACGATTTTGCGATCCTCTGCTCTATTGGTTACGACACACCGACATCCAGGTCCTTGTACTAACAAGGAACCATCGCGAACGGTCCGGCTTCGATTTTCATGAAACTTTCTACACTTATAAAGCAGCCAAAAATAATCGACACGTATTTTTTTTTAGCTGCGGTAACTCGAGTTTAAGGGG